GTGTGTCTGTGTGTGTGTCCCTCCACGTCAACCGCCTCATTTAACATGACTGTTGTAATTGTGACGCAACCGCCTCGTTTCACCATGTGCCAGAAATCGCCATTTCGGGCAAAGTTGTTTTGTGTCTAGCTTTGTTTCCATTTACTATAGAATCCTTTAGCCCATGCCCTAATTATGAAGTCCAGATCAGCGAGAAATCATGACTTCTACATCGTTTTATCCTTGGTATGCACAGGGATTCTGTTTATTGGGTTACTTTTGATGGAAGATCATTCAGCCCCAAGCCTGAATTTCATAAGATCTTCATGCGCTTTCAGACATATTTCAACCAGCCTTGTGTAGAGGATGTAGGTTTTAGCTTCGATTGGAGGGGAGATGGTGCAGTTCAAAGGACAGAATTTTAAGAGATTTTGACCGATAAATTTAGCCCTGAGCTTGACCCTAGAAGCCCGAAAAGACGATATGTCTTGTTGTACACATGCACATCCCAAAGCCGCCAAAACCTGCTAACACAACCCAAAATCCTAGTCTGAAGGCGTGTCCTGAGGAGCCTTGTGACAAGGCCTGTGCCACCGATGCAGCTGTCGATCGCATTCAAACCCCAACCATTCAAACCCCAAACCCCAGATCAGGCCACTCCAGAGACTTATTTAATAAATAACACCTGCCACCCCGGAACCCTATACCCTAAGCCCCTAAACCTTTATAAAGCCTAAACCCTTATAACCGCTAATACAATAATTCCTGTGTATAGCTGTTGCAAGGCCCCAGGCAACATGTGTAATAAAATGTCCTGATGATATTGCATTGAATGCTTCTACACCGAATATATATAATCGAAACAACTAGATACGTAAAAGGTTTAATTAGCCTCGGTCGAAACAAGCGTGCGGTGCTCTACGATGGCATGGAGGCTGATTATAGAACTTCGACGAATCTTAGCAGCAATTGCCTTGCCGCTGAAACCACGACGCAGAATCTATTATAAATGTAATAATTCCAAGGAGTACGGTGGTGATGAGTGGATGTGGGATTCTCCATGCGCAAGGCTCTGCTTCGCCGAAGCTCAGCAGCAATATTCAGCAGGTTATATAGCCGCAGGTGAGTGAATGATCACATGTGTCTGGATATAAGGACATCTGGAGAAGAAATCTGATGAATGGGTGGATGATCCTTCGTCATCCGGTCTCGCTAGCCTTGTTTACTTTGGGACACAATATAAACAATCCTGAGATGCAGCAGTCCGCTTTTCACCTGCGATGCTGTGCTGCACTTGTGGATCAGAACACTTGTGGATCAGACAGCAGCCGATACCTTGCAGAACCCACATGGAGCTTTGTAATAATTATTGTGGGGCTTCCGGATCCAGGGGCTTATTCAAGCCCTGCTGTCATGTTCACATCCCGCTCTAGATTGGAGGGGAATTTTGGTGCAGGGGTCAGCCTAGATCGCAGCATGGGCCCAACAAAGCCGAATCCTCGAACTGTGCTCTTCTTGAAGGCCACTCATTATCATCTTTAGTTCCTATCTGTCTCTCCCTCTCTCTCTCACGATCTCTCTTCTCTTTCTCCTATTTAAAGTCTCGAGTATAGATACGATATATATATATATATATATACATACTTGCACTGGGCAGGAACTTTACAAGAGCTTCCTCTCCGACAAGCAGTATGTGGAGGGCAGGATGGAGGCTATATGCAAAGAGCACAGCATCGGCCCGAAGAAGCTTGCTCGCTGCTTGAAGCGCGGCATTGCTGCTTTGCATAATAATGTATGCAATGTACATGTGTGTTTGCTGCTTGTGGGCTCTTAGCCCCTTCGTGAACATTATTGCCCAAGGTGCCCATCAACTTTAGTTTCGTGGACTTGGGCGGCCAAAGCCGGGGCATTACAGAAGCTGACGCAACATGTCAGATCTATACATGTATATATTTTTTGTGGATCATGATCAGGGAGGCTGTTGGAGCAGTGTTCTGAGCTTAGGTGGAGATGAATCCCACCAACTTCGAATTCCTTCAAAACTTTTTGGGATTATTCCCTCAAATACCGACTGCGAAGGAAGCCGAGGCATTCGAATCATGAATTTAGAATTGAACTATGGATGTCGGTATATAAATGTGCATGCAGGAAGCACTGTCCAGCTTGGCGGTGGACTATGGCATAGTGTCGAAGAAGATTTCGAAGTCGCAGCTGAAGGACTGTGTTTAAATGAAGAAGAATATATTGCATGCGACATGTGTTCGAAGCTTCGTGCCAGGACTGGGCCAACACGGAAGGCTGCCTGCACAGGGCGCTGGCCGCGTATGTGCACAGGCGGCTGTTGCAGAACAGTGGGGTGAGGCTTGGGCCGAGTACACAAATTATGTATGATCATGATGTGTGTTGCATTGTCTGGGGGTCCGTGTCTACAACAATATATCCTGTGAGATCGGGCCACGAGAAGATGTATATGCTCAAGGAGATTGCACGACGTGTTCGAGAGGGCAAGCTGCAGCTGGTAAAATCATGATCGAATATCATCAGAATTTATGCTCTTGAATTGCTAATTTGTCCAGGCCGCAGGATTATCAAGATCCGCTTCGGGAGCCAGTGATGAGATCAAGTATGCTTTGGATACCGATGAGACTCAGGTTCAGCGCAGCTTGCAAGCAATAATTATTTTGCAAGAGGTCATCGATATCAGGAGTGATTTTCACAAACCAGGATTTGGCGATGTTGATGACGATGCGGTTATTATCGTGGAGCCCCACCCGAATCCCCTGCAGATCGACAGCTCGGAGGCCAGGAATCACAGCCCATTAGGGTTTAGGGTGTAGGATCGTTTCACCCTTTATATGGCTTTGATTTTCAATTGTGTTGATTGGCCGATGCAAGGATGAAGCGGCTGCAGCAAGTGCGAGGACTCCAGAGGGTGATGCCACTGGCCAGGCAGCAGGAATTCAGTTTTGCTTGCACCTCGTTAATTGATCTAGTTCGTGTTGTGACGCGATCTAGTGTGCACATGCAATATGTAATAACAGGTGATGGCAGGCAAAAGCCCTTCCCCGGTGCCGATTCTTCGCAAGGCATTCATACATAAATTTCAAATGCTTTCAATGCATGTATCACACATGTATACCCATTAAGCGCTACAAGGCTGGGCCGCTGGATATGGAATATGCTGGTCCGGAAGATGTTGCTTGGGCTGATAAACATTTGTGATTAATTTCTGATAATCATATACATTCATGCAAAATGCAGGTTCCGCGGCCGCTGCGATCACCGTCGCCAACGACAAGAAAAGTGCGGCCTTCTACATCAAAGAAAAGGAGGATGCTGATGAGTGCCTCTGCAAAGAAGGCTACCCCAGTCGTGCCATGATGTTGCAAAATTAAATGGTTGCCTCTTTCAGGCTCGTCCATCGAGCGCAACAAAGGCTTCAGATTCCAAGGATGATGAGGCAGGTATTGCATTCATGCTTTATACACATGTCACATAACATCCCTGTGATCATCACAATTCTCCAGGATCGCATGTTACATAGTGTTGCATTGGCAGGTGTCTGAAGCCGCAAGCCCAGCAAGGAAGTCTCTTATGGAAACGGAGCAGGCTGGGAATGCAAAATGTTGCATTGTATATATGTTGGCACGGTACTGGAATACTGATGGCAGGAGTGTGGTTCTGCAACCAAGAAAAAGCAGCGAAAGAGTGAGGAAATGGAACAGGCCGGCAATGACCCGAATAACCATTAAAGTTGGGTATTATAAATATCAGACCCTATATATATATATATATATATATATAGATAAGCCCCAATTATAAATAAGCCCGAATTCGAATATACTCTACAAGCCCTAACCCCCTGCAGGAGCCTGGTCCTGCAAGCAACGAGAAGAAGCTGCAAGAGAGTCATGAGGAAATGGAGCAGGCCTTTATTATGGTTCTGTCATTATATAGTTATGTCATGGTGTGTCGCTGCAGTGTTCGTATGTTCCGAATTATGTATGCTCTAATGTGACAGGAGCCTGGTCCTCCAAGCAGCGAGAAGAAGCTTCACAAGAGTCGTGAGGAAATGGAGCAGGAGCGCCATAGAAAACTGAGCTGCAACCCACACACACACATAAGTAAAGAAATATAATATATATATATATATATAGATACATATTAGATAGTTTCTTATATATACTTGTATATGTGTGTATATATATATACATATATATATATATATCTAATATATGTATATATATGTATATATATATATATATGTGTTCTTTCATGATTTGATATTTGATCACAGGAGCCTGGTCCCGCAAGCCCTGTACCTCGGCAGGCCTGTAAATTAAACATGTGCACGTGCAGGGGTTGTCATGGTATGTGCTCACCTGAACTTGCCCAGGCTACGAAAGACAGTGCTATGGCCAGTCCGATCAAAGTCTTGAGCAGCGACAGTCAGCCTTTCCTTGGTCGTGGGTGTGAACCAGAGGACGATTGGCAGGAGGTGCTGCAACATGTTGTGTGTGTATACATTTTTTTATATATACATATATGTGTGTGTGTGCTCTCTTGCTCGCTTTGTCACTCGCTCTCCCTCTCTCTCTCTCTCTCTCTCTCTCTCTCTCTCTCTCTCTCTCTGTCTCTCTCCCCTTTTAGATCTCTGCCACTGCAAGTAGAATCACTCTAGATCTGCATTGATGCTGGTGCAGGCCAATGATCCTCAGGACAGGGTGCCATTGCCCTCGATGCCATGGCCTATATGGGCTCCTCACTGGGCTCGTGGTGGTGACTCACAGCAGGAAGAGGCTGTTGATCGTTTGGCCAAAGATCTGGAAAGGGCGACTGGTGATCTGGACGCAAACGTCTTGCAGGCTGCCCAATGCAGATTATAATTGGCATGGGTGTCGTATGTGATCACATACATGTGGCCGTGTACACCGTTGCATGTGCTGTTGTTGCATGTGCTTTTGTTGCTTTAATAATCTCATGATCTGCAGGCCCAGCGGAAGCTACGCAAAAATATTCGCATGGGTGCCGAGAACGATGAGGAGAAAGAAGGTGCCGAAGAGGGACAGGCCAAGCCTACGAGGGCTAAAGCTAAGGCGAAGAGCAAAGGCAAGGCAAAAAGCAAAGCGAAGAGCAAAGCGAAGCAGAAGCCGCTAGAGCTCGAGCGAGGGGAAGATGATGTGATGACGGATGCGGCTGAGTTGGAAGACGAGGAAGAGGCCGAGCATAAGAAATTGGAGGAGGAGGAAGAAGCGGCTCCAAAGAAAAGCAAAGGCAAAAAGAAAGCAAAAACAAAGAATGCAACCAAGGAGGAGGCTAAGCAGGACAAACCCGTGAAGCGCAGATTGATCTTCGAGGAGCAAGAAGAGGAAGTGCAGGAGAACGATGCTGAGGAAGCTGAAGCAAAGGCAGAGTTGCATGCTGTCGTGTGGGAATGTGCTGCTGATTATTACATGCTACGTGTTCGTGTTTGTGCATTGTTTGATTAGAATCCTCTCGTGATGCAGGCCGACCCCGGGGATGCTATGGATATCGTTGCCCAAGAGGCAGTGGCAACGAGCAATAAAAAGAAGAGGAAGCTGAAACACAAAAAAGCAAAGTCGAAGGCGGTCGGTGTCCACACACCAGAGAAGAAGGAGGAAGAAGCCGAGGAGAAAGAAGATGAGGCCAGGGTGCAGTTGCATGTTAAATGTACATAGAATATAGAGATTATAAATAAAATATATTTTTCTAATATAATATTATAATTATGAATCTATATATGTGAGCTACGTAATTAATATAGTTACACACATATACACACATGTACACACACACATATATACATAATATTATCCATAATTTAATTATATATTTTCTCTCTCTCTATATATATATATATATATATCTCCTTGCTCTCTCTGCCTCCCTCCCTCCTCTTATGCAGGAAGCCGCAACGCCGCGAAGGCTTCCGCCGCCGCCGCACCAGTTCCGCCCCTCAGGGTGGACGCCGCGCCTGAGCAAGGCAAAAGCCAAGACAAAGAAGCCGGTCGTTGTTGATGACAAGGGGGAGCTACCACGATGGAAGCAGCGACTGCTTGTGTGCATCCCATTTGTTACAACTGCTGTGCTACGTGCCTCATTCTTCGATTTATTTGCCATATCGTAATATGACTAAGGACAAAAAGAAGGAGGTGCTGAGGGACCTTCGGCAGCTGCAAATCCTTGACGGGGGGATACAGATTCCGGAGAACACAGATGACATTACGAAGCCTGCTTGCATCATAATATCGCACGATTGGAATGCGGAAAATTTCATCTTGACTTATGTGCATAATACGTGAACTTGCTTCCCGAGGTCTTTCACCCTCGCCCCAGGCCCCAAGGTGCTGGAGAAGGCAGATAAGCATGGCGTATCCACGCTGGGTGTTTTGTGTTTTGGCTGCACCGAGTCTATATGTCTAGGTTTATGAATATCCGTGCCACTATGCATCCAATTTGTGAACCCAGGCTGGGAAACGGAGCCTTCTATGTATCCCCAGTGACAGCGGGGCGCATTGAGGAAGTGAATATCAACAACCCCAAGAACACCGTCAAGGCAGGCTGTTTGTAATTATTGTACAAACCAATTATTATCCAGTGCGAATACGATGTAATAATGTGTATATATATATATATATACATAGATAGTTCGAGGCCAACAAGAAGGATGCTGTGCAGATCAACTGGAAAAAAGGAGACTTGGGAGATTGCCAAGAAAAGTGATTTGGCTGCAATAGTACACATAAACTTCATAATAATATATTTCCCTGACACAAATCACTCATGATCCCAGAATCCTAGGTTTCGTCTTGCAAAGAGAGTGGCTGGATGGCTTGCGCCGTACTGGCCACTGCCTGGGCCGATTCGCAAGAAGAAGGGCGCATGAGGCATGCTCTAGAGCACTGGATCGCGAAGTGGGGATTCCGGAAGGAAAAATGTGTCCTATACCATTCGATTCCTCTGCATGTGTGATCAGACACCGGAACACAGCAGACATGCTTGGGATCTTGGCCGTGATAGATGGCACGACAGTATAATATATACTAGATTATTAATTTATATGCATGGCCAGTGATGCACAGTGAGATGCATGCAACTCAGGACGTACCGCAAGTTTTCCGAGCTGTGCTTTCGAAAGAGTGTCGCCAGTCGAATTTACTAGATGATCTCTGTCATGTGTCGATTATAAATCCAATGCCAGAGAAACGTCACCGGAAGCTATCGACATATAACCATGGCTCCGTGGCAGCGCAGCCCCCTGGCGCTTTCAGCATCCGCGATAACTCTCCTGCAATTACTGGGAGCCCACCCAGGGTTGCCCAGGTCTCAGTTGTTTCAAAGATCGCATATTACATGAATATACGCCCATGATATTCTGGAACCTGCCCAAACCCATCTCAAACCTAGGATCCATATGGCCGACTACGTGGCGCAGAACTCTCCACTTGCTTTGAGCTCCCGGGCATTAGTCTCAGGTTCCGCTGAGCTAAGAGTACGCAGTGCGGTGTGTATAGATCAGGTCATGTGCATAATTATAATCTACCTCAGGAGAATGTCCACTACGATGTGTTTGCTGGGTGTCGCAACATGCAGCGAACATATTGTGCCTTGCCTCGAATATACAGGTTTGCAGTCCAATATTTTCATTATCATACTTAAAGTTGAATTCTCAGGTTCGGCTGGCCTACGCAGGCAACTCATCAGCAATGGAGGCTATATATCATCTCGCCAGTATAAAACATAAAAAATAATCTAAATATAATAACACAACCGTATAACCATGGTGACATGTATGATCGTATTTAGCAAACTGCTACAATATTCTAGAATGTATATTTCCAGCAGCTAAGTACCCTTATTATAGTTGTATAAATTGTTTTTATATATACACATATAATTTATGTCTGCAAATATTGATTTTTATAACCTCTTCGATTCAAGGCCCAAGTCGTATCTATTCCTGATTCATCTAGGTCCTTCGGACCCGTATGGTACACATCCCCAGTCCCCCACGCCATTTCGAAACTCAACTATTATTATTTATTTAATTGTGATAATCGCTTCCAAGGTGGTTTTAGTGCAAGCAGCGTTTCATAATAATTCTGAACCTGACCCCTGAATATGCCAGGGTTGCCCTGTCAGGGACACCATGCAATTATGGTTATAACACGCTCATGCTGAAACACAGCTTGCTCCCACCAAGTGACTACATGGATATGAGTCACCGGCCGGAGGATGATCTCTGCAGCACGCTCCCTGACTGCACTGTGAAGCCCCAGTAGACCCGTTCTTATAGGTACTCTGATCTGTGAACAAGATGTTGCAATCGCTGGCCCAAGGGTTGGATTTATATCAGCCGTTCGAGGCATACTGAAGTTGAAGCCACTGGGATTGGCAACAATAGGTCTTCCATGTGGCTCTTTCGTTTGGATTAACTCAGCCACTTCAAAAAGAACAGAAGATGCTCCTTTTGGCAATGAGCTCCTGGAGCATGTGGCCAATGGCAACAAGCACCTTGGATGAAGATAGCTATAAGGGATTCGTTTCGAACCGATGTCCTGCTGTATGGCATGTTGATTGTTCGAAGTGGCTCACCAATGACCTGAGGATTGCTGCTCGAGTAGCACTTCTTTTGATGCTACTGATGTCTCGAAAAGTACTTTTCCTTCTGGAGCAACCATCGTCCTCGAAGCTCGAGTTCCTACCGTACATACAGCACACTTTCAAGATGATCTCTGCACTTCTACCAGTACATAGGGTTTTCTTGCCAGCGACTTAACATTATCGATTGCATGTGGTCATCATTGCTTCCAATCCTGCATCTGGTTTCGATTGGCTCAGCTGGATGGGGAACTTTGGCCACTTCAGCTGCAAGGCTTCCCTGGCTTACAGCAACTTGTGCATGGTCCACAATCCAGACTCGAGCAGAATTGTTGTATTTAATGATAACTGGCTCTATGCTACCGATGTGCTGCCACTGAGGTGCTTCATCTCTAAGCTGTCAAAGCGATTATCCAGATCGAAGCGGCTCCAGCTCTCCTCAGCTGGGGTTGTGACACGCAAAAAGGTTAGGGGTAAAGTTGCTGTGCAGCTCGGCTTTACCTTAGAAGAATGACATTTCGGTCGCATTTGTGCACAGTATACTGGAATAATTATCAAACCGAAGTCTCACCAAGGACTGGATCCAGAAAACTCAAATCGACCCAAGAGTACCCGCGCAAGTTCTGCCGAAAGATCATGCGACTACACATGAAGTCCATGGATGCTTGGTTTCAGGCTCCTTATATGTTGCAGCAGTCATTGCATTAGTGCTTAGGGATGCTGCTGACTTTCAACCTAATATTATGTTTGTAGCTATATATATATATATATATATATATATATAGTGCTTTAAATTATTAGTACAGCCAAGGATCGATGTGGGAAGAACATCAACCAGAAATTGATGAAACAAGCGGTTGCCCTTGCAGGCAAGGGAAAGGCTGCTCTGCTGCATATAGCTTCGATGCTGGATGTGTACCGGTCTGATCTATAGGTAGATTGCACTTCAGTAATTACGCAGTTGGGAACAATCTCCTAGATATGAGAGACGATGTACAAATTGTTCTATAACAGGTGTGCAGGTACATGGTAAGCATATGTGTATATATATATATATATATATATTAATGTAATTACATATTATTTCAGATATAACTATATACTGGGTATAATTTTATTTTTATTGTTATTAATGTACTACAGTATATAAATACATAAATATATATATATATGATCATTATATGTTTCTACGTCTACAGTCATAGAACAAGCAGGATAATGTGAATGTAGTATTTAAGTATATATATATATATATGTATATTCATATCTAGAGATATCTCTATAACAATTAATAATAATATATATATATATATAGACATACATGCAGCATGTAATTGTATGTGTGTATATATATATATATACATATATACTAGCAAAGAATGGCCTTAAAAGCAGTGGCACCCAATCATTTATGTGTCAAGTCGCAAACTTAAGTTATAATTATTAATATTGGAACCTGGATCCCCATATTTCTGCCAAGGCCGAGCCACCATTGGCTTGGCAGCATGCTGAGATGGATGAAATCCTGAGTTTTCTGCGGGCTGAACGGGCAGCTGGGCGATACAACCCTTCACTGTCTTTGTAGCTTTCTGGGTTCGACAGGATTAATTCATTCGTATATAGGTAATTCCTAGAGCCATCGGAATAGATCATGACGTCAGGAACCCAGGAGCTGCAGCAACCGTTGATCCCAGAGAGTGATTCCTGTAGCACATCTCTACGCTGGGGTGCATGCTGATGTACCTCGCAATCCAAATTTGTGTGCAGCATAATTAAAAGACTTGACGTGTACCTGACACACGCTTGTGCTAAATACTCTGGCCGTCGAGACTCAAGATTTCGGCCGCATTCGGTCATCAGTCCTTCAGATGCTTCAGAGGACTTTTCGGAAGGGTTGCCAAGCGTGGTCCCAAGAGGGTGGTGCTGGAGGAATCCTTCTGTAGGGTTGGTTGAAATGATTAAATTACAATAGTTATAATGGTTTTTCCTTATTGGCTCGGGGGGGGGAGCCAGGCGTGACTTTAGCGTGACTTTGGCGTGACTCTAGCGTGACTGTAGTATATGAACAGTATTAGAGAGAGCGTGACTCTAGCGTGACTCTGGCGTGACTCTAGCGTGACTTTCTTGCCACCGTGGGTTCTGGTGAGGGTCGGGGTGTCTCAGTGCTTGAACTACATCGGTTGCAGCATTTCCTCAGGCCGATTGATAGGTAATTATGGTGATGGTGCCCAGCTTCGATCACATGTGCTTCGAACTGCTTCTTCACATCTGGGTAATAATACACATTCTGGTATTATTATAATAAGGCTTCAATGAGTTCGATCTCCATGGCGTCGAATCCTGCTGCGATGCCTATAGGCAACAAACTCGACACACTCTTAGCTGCTGCTGAAGAGCTGAAGAAGCGGGCTTTGCAAGGCAGTGAGTACGAAGAAGCCCCCAAGGACACACCCAAGAAGGTTGCCCCGTGCAAGGTTGAGCAGAGGACCCCAGGACCGCCTAAGTCAAAGGCATGCAAGACGGAGCATCGCAGCCCTGCTGCTCCCGAATCCATTGCTTACGCAGCTTCTGCCGTCTCCTCGTCGCACTCCAACCAGGGGACCCCCAGCTCCAAGCGAGGCAGAAGCCACACACCCAGTGGCTCTTGCAAGAGGCGTCGTCGGGGAAAGAAACCACCGACTCCCGAGAAGCCCAAAGCATCAACTCCTGAAAAGGCCAAAGCAGCGACACCCCCGAAGACCAAAGCACCGACTCCCGAGAAGCCGAAGGCGCAGACTCCCGAAGAGGCCAAAGCAACGACTCCCGCAAAGACCAAAGCAACGACTCCAGAAAAGGCCAAAGCACCGACTCCCACAGTGACCAGCGAAGCACCGACGGAAAAGGCCAAAGCAACGACTCCCGAGAAGCCCCAAGCAACGACTCCAGAAAAGGCCCAAGCAGCGACTCCTGCAGAGACCGGCGAAGCAGCGACGGAAAAGGCCAAAGCATCGACTCCAGCAAAGACCAAACCGACTCCAGAAAAGGCCCGCACCCCGCACAGTGTTGGAAAGCGCAGCCGCAGCAGCCCGAAGAAGGGTTCACCATCTGCAGCAACCGAGGCCACACCACTCACAGTGCAATTGTATGTTACGGTAAGAACAGTTTACATTTATGACTGGCTAACATGCAGTTCCTCGTGCAGGATGGAGAGCTCAGCCGCCGCAGTCAGTCTTCCGGTCCGCTGGTGAGGAGCAACACTGTGCCTTGGATGCATTGTTGATCTACATAGACCCACAACTCCGAAGAAGTACCTTAATTTAATCAGCCTCCCAAAACCCTATACAGTCCAAAACCGTTATAGCTATATAGCGTTTATATTTAGTCCCTGAACCCTGAAAAAATATTTGGTTAGGATGGACTACGCACAGATCGTGATCTATGAGCTTTCTTGGGTGGCTCGGGGTTGATCTCTTTTCCAGGTTCCTTTCGAAACTCGAGGCTACAAGCCTGTATCCAATAATTACGTCCACGAGAATGTAATTTATATACAATATATATATATATATATATATATGCTCACCCCCCCCCCCCCCATGACAGACCGTCGTGGGGAAGGGGAAGGGTGGCGTTCGTCCCCAGGCAGGATCTGTCAACGGATAGGCGACAGACACTTCTCCCAAACTCAATTCCAAAATGTTCTTTTAGATGGTTTGCAATTTTGGAAAATTTCTTCACATGCATGCAACGCTCCTAGTCCCAATCTTAATCTCAGTTCTGCTCTTCGTACCACTATTACTGTTTGTAGATCTTAATTCTTGTATCAGTGTTAGCATTAGTATTAGTTTTGTGGTAGTATTGATATTAGGATGTTTAGTATTAGTAATAGTATTCGAATTAGTATTACTATTAGTATTAGCATTAAGTATGTGTATTGATATTAATAGTAGTAATCGTCGTACTAGCAATAGTTGTCGCACAGTAGTAGTAGTAGTAGTGGTAGCATTAGTATTGGTATTAGTATTAGTATGAGTATTAGTATTAGTGACTAGTATGAGTATCAGTATTAGTTTTAGTATTAAGTATGTGTACTAGTAGTAGTACTAGTAGTAGCAGTAGCAGTAGTAGTCGTAGTAGTAGCAGTAGTAGTAGCAGCAGTAGTGGTGACATTAGTATTGGTATGAGTATGAGTATTAGAATTAGTGGCTAGTATTAGTACTAGTATTAGTGTTAGGATTAATATGTATTGTTCTGGGTTCTAGTCTTAGTACTGCTGTCATTGTTTGTAGTAGTCCTAATCCTGGTATCAGTGTTCATATGAGTAATAGTTTTGTGGTAGTATTGATATTAGGATGGGTATTGCTTCAGTACTAGTATTGGTATTGGTATTTAGTATTAGTATTAGCATCAGTATTAGTATTAATATTGAATAAAAGTATACATATCAATAATAGTAAATATGAACTCGTGATTATGTTCGTGCTGGTGTTAGTGCCAGTGTCGATGTCAATGTCAGTAATAGTACTCGTGTTAGTATTAGTATCAGTCTGAATGCTGGTTTTAGTATCTGTTTATTATTCACAGAAGTGCTGGTCTTAGTATCAGTATTAGAAATAGTTTTGATATGTGAATATACTGATTGATTCGTACATTTTAAGCTTAATATGATAATACAGTACTGTATTCGAACAATAGTATATTTGCATAGTTGGAGATTGCGTAAATATATTAGTACGTCGGTGCATGAGTACATTAGTATATTGGTGTATCATGATATTCGTATGTTAACGTAGTAGTATATTAGTATATTATTATACCTAATAGCTTATAGGCATATCAATATGTTGGCATAATGGCATGTGAACATGTCAGTGTACTTGCCTTTTACAGTATTCGTATATTAGTACACTAGCATATTTAGTGATAATTAGTGTTAATGCCAGTGCCAATGTCGATGTCAGTTTTAATCAGTCTTAATGATGAATTTAACATCAGTATGATATTCGCGGACGTGCTAGTATGCGTATCAATACTATAATTAGTTTTGATATATTAGTATACTGATAGATTATATAAACAGCTTAGTATACCAACACATTATAATGTATTCGAACAGTAATATGTTTGTATACCTGTATGTTTGTATGCTCTTAGTATATTAATGCATGCGTACGTTCGTGCATGAGTACATTAGTATTTTGGTGTGCTATTATCTTCGATTATTAACATATTAGTGTATGAGTATCCTGGTATGCTACTTCATTTATCATATTCGTATATTATCTAACAACTTTTTTGGTATATCCATATGTTAGTATACCATTGCCATGTGTCAGTGTACTTGCATATTACAGTATTCGTGTCTTAGCAAGTTAGCATATCAATACAGTATAATCAGACGTTAACAGGTAGTATATTGTCACGTTGGAAACTGGGTATATGACAAATTAAATACGAATATACTACGTTAGTACACGAATGCATTGATATATTTGCTTTTCAGATAGTGGTATGTATATCTGCGGACATTAGTATACGCAGGTGTCTGTTAGTATTGGCATTAATATCAATATGAATATGACTATTGGTAGGCGTAGGAGTATTAATGTTAATAATAGTATTAGTAATGTGCATATTCGTAATAAAAGCATTAATATAAATGTCAACGTTAGTGTTAATGCTGGTATTATCTTGAATACTCAACAAAATAGCAATGTCAGTATTAGTATTGCTGATAGTATGATCAGAGAATGTGAGTTAGCATCGTAGGAGTATCACTACTTATATGAACAGTGATACAAGTAGAAATATTGGCATTAGTATTAGTGAAAGTATTGGCATTAATACTCATATGCATATGATGACGTGTATTCGCCGGAATATTTGCAGTAGTCTTACTTTGGACTTTCGTATTGGAATTGCACCAGTTCTCGAGTTCTCGAGCCGAAGCGGGGGACGTGGCTTTGGAGGAAAAAACCAAACAACCAAAGTTTCACGGAGAATGCCGGAACAGTTTTGGTTTTTTGGTTTTTTGGTTTTTTGGATTTTTGGTTTTTTGGTTTTTATATAGCGAAACCAAAAAACCAAAAAACCAAAAAACCAAAAATCCAAAAAACCAAAACTGCTCCTGCATTCTCCGTGAAACTTTGGTTTTTTGGTTTTTTGGTTTTAGCTCTAGTGTCGTTCTGGACAGACGAAATCAGGGGTTCCACAGACACGTGAAACTTTGGTTTTTGGCTTTCTGGTCTCCGTCTTTTGGTGGTTCCAGGGATACGTTCGGAGGGCTCAAACTCGATACCCCGGAAAAAGCACGAACACGCCGGTGGGAGCGATGTTTTGAAGGGGATGGTCTGTCATGGGGGGGGGGGTGACCATATACATATATATTAGTACATATATACTGATCAGATATTCTATGACTAATTGGAGATACATAACGATACATACATGTATGTATATATATATATGAATATATTAATGAATTATAATTACTTAATTAATTAAGCAGCCCAAATTTAATTACACTCGAACCCCTGTTGCCTCGCCAGATATAGTTCTCCACGGTTCTCACAAACCGAAACCCACGGCAGTTGAATGCATTTTGAAGTAGTAGTAGTAGTAGTAGTAGTAGTAGTAGTAGTAGTAGTAGTAGTAGTAGTAAGTAGTATAGTAGTATCGTGGTGCATCTGATACCGATATGTATACATGTATATATATATACATATGTATATATAGCAGTAGTAGTAGTAGTAGTAGTAGTAGTAGTAGTAGTAGTAGTAGTAGTAGTAGTAGTAGTAGTAGTAGTAGTAGTAGTAGTAGTAGTAGTAGTAGTAGTAGTAGTAGTAGTAGTAGTAGTAGTAGTAGTAGTAGTAGTAGTAGTAGTAGTAGTAGTAGTAGTAGTAGTAGTAGTAGTAGTAGTCGTAGTAGTAGTAGTAGTAGTAGTAGTAGTAGTAGTAGTAGTAGTAGTAGTAGTGTTGCAGCTTCGTTCATAAGTGTATTATAGTAGTATCGTGGTAGAACTACTAGTACTAGTAGTAGTAGGATCATAGTAGTAGTGGTAGTACGTAGTGCTAGTAGCAGCAGTAGCAGTAGCAGTAGCAGCTATAGCAGGCTCCGGGGTTGTAGGACAAGCACTAGAAGTCGCAGTAGCAGTACCAGTACCACAGCTGTAGCAGTAGCAATAGCTAGTGTATTGTTAACTATTGTTACGTTTTGTGGTAGTAGCAGCAGAAGTAGTAGCTATAGTAGCAGTAGTAGTGGTAGTGGTAGTGGTAGTGGTAGTGGTAGTGGTAGTGGTAGTGGTGGTAGTGGTAGTGGTAGTGGTGGTAGTGGTAGTGGTAGTGGTAGTGGTAGTGGTAGTGGTAGTGGTAGTGGTAGTGGTAGTGGTACTAGTAGTAGTAGTAGTAGTAGTAGTAGTAGTAGTAGTAGCAGTAGTAGTAGCAGTAGTAGCAGTCGAGTAGCCGTAGTAGTTTTACTACTACGGCCACTAGACTGCTACTACTGCTACTACTACGACTACTACTAGCCAAAACCCCAAGTGTTCAGACCAAGCCCCATCATCAGGTCTCTTCGATCGGCAGCTGGAAGTCGTGGCAGGGCAGTGATGAATCCTGGGAATGGCCAGACAACGCGTGGTCTTGGGGCCAAGGCTGGGAGAGCTGGGAATCGCATGCAGGCTGGGGCTCCTGGTCCTGGGACCGTGCTTCCGATTGGGGTCCAGGGTCTAGGCTGGGCTCTGAGTGGCCAAAGGATGGTGGTGCTTCCAAGGAGTCCGAATCTGAAAAGGTTCAGGCTATCTTGAGAAGGGGGCATACAGTCGACAAGCTATCCACCGAAGAGCTCAAGATGATAGTGAACCACATCGACAAGCAGCAGAATCATGGTCAGAAGGAGAAGGATGCATCTGCAGCTGATGCAAACCGTGAGGAAGCACCGGCTGCAGATAAGCAGGAAGATGCACAGGAGGCTGATGATAATGATGAGAAGAAGGACGGGGATAAGAAGGAAACCAAAGAAGAAAGGCGAAAGCGCCTGCACGCTCGCAACATGCGGTACTACCGCAGCCTGGAGAGCAGTCTGGTTGCAAATTTATCATCAGTATTATCAATATGAATAAAATTACATTATTGTTGTATTTAATTTGTGAATGCTATTCCCGGGGATATTGTTGATGATTGGATGTAGCACAATTTCTAATAATTGCATTGTAGTCTAGTATGTAGCCATACTAGTATTAATGACTACTGAAGACTGCAGGCCCGAACACGCCGAAGGAAATCAAGCGGATGGCTTCAAAGTCGAAAAGCGACCCCAGTGCTCGTTCAGTGTTGTTCGAGGACTGGTTGCAATCCGGTGAAAGCTGGAAAAGCTCGAAGTTACTTGCGAGGCTGCGCAACAGATCGTCGAGTGCTCGCCGGGGAATGCGGAAATGGCTCTTTTGGACGGAAATGGTTGCCCGGTTCGGTGAAGAAGTCGCTTTGGCTCTCAAGGAAACCAAGGAGGCGGATCCCGAACGCAGCCTTACCGAAATCAGGAAGTGGCCTGAGTGTGAGGCCCGTTTTTGTGTCGAAATATGAACAGCATCACCCCTATACCTCAAAACATATAACACTACACCTATACTACTCTTAGAACGGCCCTGAAACCCTAAATGTCCCAATAATTTGTATACCCCTTGTGCAGGACTACCTCCAGTACAAGTGCTTGGTGGAGGACAGCGAGGAATCCTGCTCCGAGGAAGAGATTGAAACGATGATCGAGGCCCAGCTCAGCGACTCCAGTGACTCATCGGATGACTCAGGGCACAAGAAGAAGAAGAAGGGTAAGAAGAACAAGAAAAGCAAGAAGGACAAAAAGTGCTCGACCCCCAGCCCGAAGAAGAGGGGCAAAGCAAAGTCGAAAGCGAAGGCAAAAGCCAAAGCAAAGGTGGGATTGTGTGTGTGTGTGTGTGTGTGTGGGGTCGAATGCAAGGCGTTATGTAACTATTTTCCCTGAAAGTATAAAGTATTATATATATTAGACGGTATATTTTATAATTATAGCTAGCTATGTGTATAATTGCCTAGACTATATATTGGGGTGATCTTTGTAGCTATAGTCCCGCTACAGGCCCTGAGTCCAGAAGAAGCAGAAGCCCAGAAGGCTAAGCAGGAGCAGAAGAAGAAAGCGAGCCAGGCATTAGCTGATGTACACGTTCTTCTTTTGATGTTACCCAGCGGCCTATAACTCGTACATAAAGAAAATAATTTGAATATAATGTCGAAGTATTCCTTATGCAGGCCCTGTCAAAAGCGACGGAAAGGATCAAGACTGCCACGGCTATCAAAAAGGAGGAGAACGTGGAAGGGATGTCAGTTCCTTACAGGTTCGATTCATCATGGGAATAATGATTATTCTTATTACAGCTACTGCACTCCATCAACCAACTAAGGGGCGACCACCTGCTGCAAGCCATGAAGCGTGATATCAACGAGCAGGCTGCTTACTTGCAACTGGGTTTCGATTGCCGTGGCGATGGTGCCAGGCAGACAAGGTGCAGGAGGCTCGCGCGAAGCTGCAGCACGCAGTGGATCAGGAGGCCGCATTATAATAGCCTTGGATATAGGATAACAGCTTTGGGGCTTATGGCTTCTAGGTTCCCAGGGTTCCAGGGCTTTTGCTAGAATTGCACCCGTCACCTCGAATCCTGATCTGAGCCCCATGTGCAATCCTCTATATATAGAGACCTGATGAGACTACAAGCTCAAAGCATAAAGCGGCTAACCCGGTGTTTCAGCTCTTCAGTTTCGTGTAATGGCAAGCTAATTATGAAGCCTAAACCCCAAAATACCCATTATTGTACTTACCCTCCTCATGTAGCTGCTTTAAAAGCCTTTAACACGATACAACCCGGATGTATACTAACACAACCCTAAACCCAAACCCCGATCCTAACCCAGAATAACAACAAGAGATCTGGTGCAATCCTGCACAGGAAGGTGATTCCATGGATGGACTTGTGACAGCCCTGACTGCCACCTGTGACCAATTCGATAAGATCAACAAGGATTTCCAGAATCGGAAGTCGAACGGCAAAAATGCTGCTACGAAGAAGCCTAAGGGTGGCAAGAAGTGAGGTTGCATTACGTGCGGTGGCCTGCATTCAGTGCACCTATGGGCGCCATATTGTTTTGATCGATGTGGCCAGGGTGAACCTTGGCTGCTTTAAACTGCACATGCGCCTACATGTGGCGAACCGGCTCCGGAAGACGAATGCTACAGTAGAGCTCGACATCGTGTTAAACTTAAAACATAATAAGGTAGGTGTAGGTATGTGTGTGAGCATGGATACACGTTCTGTGTGTGTACATGTACACAGTCCATATATGTTCTCACACATGCATGCATTTAATTTTAGTAACCCCAGCTTGGACAGCTCCAGCCCTGATCCTTTCGAGCTCGGTCCTCGATAATTAACAGGTAGACTGTATGATGTAGCCCATACATCCTGTATAACAATATGTTCCATTCTTGGATAATTAGTACCCAGAAAAAAGTAGCTATACGCACATCAATAGTGAGCCGTGAACACCTCTGCAGCTGTCTATGCAACTAGTTTGGTTATTCTTAATATCCTGTCAGCTAGCTGGAATTAAATTCATCCCGTCGAATGCGGAACCCCTATGTTCTTATAAGCCAGGGCCCTCTAAATGCCGGGAGCCGGGGGCAAAGGCAAGCTGCAGGTGCTGCCGCATGCGTCCGTGGAAGCGCACACACCTGGGATAAGCACCAATGACATGCATCTACAAACCGGTGTGTGTGGGGGCTGGATGGATGTTTCAGCTTAGATGTAGCTGGCCCTAGGCCGCACTGCTGAGTGCCATGTGCATTTTATCCTTGGGTTACGAGGCCGAGGGCGATTTCGGCAACTCAGCCGGATTGATCATGATCAGCAGCTGAAGCGCTGGTGCGAAAAGAATTATAAGTAGGCCTTGTGTCGAGTGCAATGATCGTTCGTGCATTGCTGGCAATGGACATGCAGGTTGCTTCTACGGGCATGTCATATACCGCAGTACAATGCAACAGGATCATGATAATAGTAATAACCAATATAACTATATATGTATATAGTACTCATCCACATAAAACTCAAACACCTCAAGCTTGTGTACCAATGTGTGTGATATGATTCTACCCTTCCACATGTGTGAATAAATGGGTAGTACACAAGCATGGGACAAGCCTAGCTAGGGAGTTTAATGCAATTGTGATATACTACATATATATATATATATATATTACCAATATATTCCGGATATTCCGATATTTCGATTGCCTTATGCCCACCGACCTTAAGTTGCACATGAAATCCCATAAGGTGCATCGTTTCCTAAGTCGGCAGTGCAGGTATCCCTTTAAGCTCTTATATGCGCTCGCCCCCCAACGAAAGCCCTCTGTACTTGCTTCCCAATCTTCATTCTGTACCTCCTACCCGACAGCCCTTAAGCTTGTGGCCAAGTTATTATAACAATTATCATGGTCGAAACACCCATGGCCACCGAAACCCAAATTCGACACATGCCAGGCTCAGACAATGATGAGAATGATACTGGTGATTCTGCCAAAGGCCTGCTGCAGAATATCCTGGAGAGAGTATCCAATGGTGATTCTTGGCAAAGCTGTAAAAGTTGCAACCCGACCATATTGATTCAAAGTCGACAAGCCATTTGCCCTTATACCCCTAAACCTAAACCCCAAAATCCTGCAGCCCAAATGCTTAAAGCAGCATCGTCATCATGGATCTGTCCTTAGGATGAGGCGGTTGGATCTGCCATGCAGAATGCCCGGGCCAGCTACGAGGAGCTAAGGGGGTTTTCTGTATTCGAGTGCAGTTATAACCAATTTAAAGGTATACAGTCTGTGACCTTCTGAGTTGGCATACCGCACGTACTTGTAACATGCAGGAATCCGGCCGGAACTTCAAGGGCAAGATTATATCGAAGCTGGTAAATTACAAATCTGGCAACGATGCGCGAGAATTCTTCAAGCACGTGGAGGTGCCTCTTGCAGCTGGGACAAGATTTATGGGAGGGTTTATAAGTGCGAAATACGATTTGAAATAAACCCCCTGTGACCATAAGCATAATTAACAATTTATGTTTGTTAATATAAGTAAATATTGTTTCTCTGAGCCCCTAGCCTAGCCCAAGGAACCAACGGAAGTTCCAGTGACAATCTACGAGGGATTTGAAGGAATGCGCAAAGAGGTTCAAACGACCGTTCCGGTGCTGGATCCACACGAGCTTTTGGACTTCCTACATACAGAGCTCAAGCTGCAGTGTCCTATGGCTACAGTTCAAGGGTTTTGGCAACATATGATTGCCAATAACGTCCCCTTCGCGCTCAACCATCCTCATAGAGCTGCTTTGCATACCATGGTACCATTCACCATTTATGGGGACGAGCTGACATTGGGGAAGGACCCTAAGGACAAGCTCACAGGAATTTTTCTTCAGCTGACCTTGTTCAAGCCGAAGGCTGCTCGGCAGGGCATTTGGCTGCTCTGCGCTGTGCAAGATGCCTGTATGGTTCATGAGGGCTTGAAAACACTGGCCCCGATCATGGAGCATATCGTCTGGTCTTGCAACCAAGCTTGTGCAGGTACATATCCAACGATGTCGAGAACTGGCTCCGCTTTGACTGGGTTTAAATCCAAGAAAGCTGGTCAAAAGTTTTCGGGTGATACTCGCTGGGTGTGTGCTGAGCTACGAGGCGACTGGAAGTGGCATGAGCGCACTTTGCGATTGCTGCGAACTCCTGTGTCGAAGAAGTGTTGCTTCATGTGTGATGCCCAAGCAGCCGACGGCCCTCTGGCTTACTACAACTTTCGAGATGATGCTGCTTGGCGAAGTGCACAGCTGGACACGAATGGGTTTCTTCGGAACGCCATTCGGCCTGGACTAGCGAGTATCGTGGCTCATGATAAGACGAAATTTGAAGCAACAACAAGCTTGCGTCGAATCATGTTTATATGAACTCAAACCCAAAAATAAATCAAGGCCCTTGGACTCAGCTGACTGGCTTCGACGTATCCATGGTGAAGTTCTGCAGCATGCATGTCTGCAATCTGGGCTTGGTGCACACTGCGAGTGGTGGCGCGCTGTGCCCAAGTCTCATAATCATATGTTGTCCGTTGTTTTTGAACTGTCTTTTCAGCTGGTTAGCTCAGCACGGGTTTATTCAATCTACATCCAAGGGAAGTTCTGCTACGCGAGGGCCATTTCGGGCCCTACAATGGAACTGACTCCGTGAAGGTGTTGCTCGAAAGTGCATACACCGAGTTTCAGAACTGGCGCCGGCCAACAAGATTGCTTGCTCCCAGCGGTCTTTCGCGCCACGCCATCTGCTGAAGAAGGTGCACGGGTTTTACTTGACAACCAAAGCTTATAATGCCCGGATCGTGATGCTGTGGTTGACAAACAAATTGCAAGACGTCGCCCAGCACGCAGCTGCGAGTCCGAGCATTCGCTTGCACGCAACAGCATTGCAGCTCGGCTGATTTTTTTACCCAAACCCTGAAAAAGAGTGTGGCAATACCCAAATCCTGAAAAGGAGTGTGGCAGGAGTGTAATGTAATTACTCGTTCTGATAATTATGATCTGATCGAACCGCCTTTTAATGCAAGGGAACCCTGCCAAATAAGTCCGGGGAGCTGAGGACCGCCTTCTCGAGGTGGTTCACTGCCACTGAGACGGCCAAGCGTTTGTTGCAGCTTCCATGGCACAGATCAGGCTTTCTTTTACATACGAATGATATGTTGTCGGCTAACTATATTTAATGTCTGGAGTAGACCTGTGCAGAGGACACCGGCCCAGAGCGAAGAAATTTACGCGAATGGAATGCTCTTTCTCAAATGCCATTTACGATTGACCCAAGTTTCGCATCGGTTCCTCAGCCAATGTTAGTAGATGGGTTTCTTTATGTATATAGAGAATATTTATGGGTTTATACATGTATAAACCCATAAATATTCTCTATATACATAAAGAAACCCACAGGGTTTAGGTATGGGGGATGATACTGCCTGCATATGCTCTAGGGTATCCCCATTCGGCAAAGGCTCAACATCCTGGCCTGGGTGCTGAAACCAAAGTACCATGCAACTCGACTTAATTAACCATATATGTACCGAATATCATTATTACTAAGACTGTTCATGCTACAATTGTTGGTGAGGCCATGCTGCACATCCTGGACCAAACCCGGAAGTGGCGATTCCTGCTTGGAATTCTTCGTGCAACATTTTTGGGTTTTCTATATAAAATAAGCATAGCTATGCTAGCCGGAACTCGCGGTAGTAATGGGCCCTGAGGCTACAATTCGCGCTACACTCATAACTTCACTGGGGAAGATGCTATGGGCTGGCTGAAGAGTGCCTGAGTTGCCATTGAAATCCAGGGATCATTTTCTGTTTTCATGCTTTTCATGAGCATGATCCATATATATATATACATATATATCTACATATCATGGGTTTAGGGAGTATTTGCATATAAGCATCAGATTCTTCAACCCAGGGGTGAGTCTCAAAGCTCCACGAGCGCCTGGAAAGTTCAATCGCTGGGTTCTGCGCATGGGGATGCTGAAGCTGGTAGCATCAAAACGCCGTTTGACAAAGATGCTCAGCGATATATAATTATAGTGCAGGTTTAGAGTTTTTGGGTTTAGGGGTCTATAGGTTTAAGTGCTTTTCTGATGTGTGGGGTGTAGGGGTGCAGTCTTTCTGAAATTATGTAGCGGTGGAGGGTATGGGGTTGCATAAGGTTGTGCTGCCAGGGTCTAGCTAGGTTCCCTAGGTTGGGTTTGGGGGAAGTTGACCTTTCGAAGGCCTATACCAATAGAAACCTGGAGAAGTTTTATCGCTATTGCAGCGCAAAAGCCCAAACCCAGAAGCTCGATTCTGCTTTCAAAGGACCTCCAAACCAAAGCCTTGAAACCCACCAGCAATAAAAACTATGTCGATCTTGAAAGCCCAGGAAAATGCGTCAGCGAGGATGGAATCGATGAATTATGCTCTGGGTGATGATGCAAATCTGCCGCTTCTTGGCAAGAATTCCTGGTTTTGGTGCCCTGTCTCCCCCGAAAACAATCCGAAACCAAACCTAATCTAAGCTTTATGTATAGTTTTATAAAGGGGTTACCCGTGTTTCTTTGTTGTTTTGCGAAGGGTCGGGACGTTTTAAAGCCGATTCTTGTGAGAATCAGACATTAAGGTAGCCGCCGATGAGTGCGACAAGCAGCCTGTTTGTGCCCAGAGTGTGAAAAAAAACGACGTCCTCGCTTGGTCGTTCGAAGCCCCTAAAAAACGCCCTTTGACACAACCGCCTCGCTTTTCATGAAGGTTACTAACCGCCTCATTTAACAAGCCTGGAAGACGAGTAGGGTGTGGGTCTGTGTGTGTCTGTGTATGTGTGTGTCTGTGTGTGTCTGTGTGTGTGTCTGTGTGTGTCTGTGTGTGTGTCTGTGTGTGTCTGTGTGTGTCTGTGGGTGTCTGTGCGTGGGTGCGCGGGTGCGTGTGTGCGTGTGTGCGTGTGTGCGTGTGTGCGTGTGTGCGTGTGTGCGTGTGTGCGTGTGTGCGTGTGTGGGTGTGTGTGTGTGTGCGTGTGTGTATGTGTGTGTGTGTGTGTGTATGTGTGTGTGTGTGTGTGTGTGTTTGCGTGCGTAAATGTATAAGAACGCCGGGGGATTCCTCAATCATGAATGAAGCCTGAGCGCTGTAAGACCCCGATACCCTACAGAGCGCCAAAGCCCTAACCCTGAACCCTTAAACCCTAAACCCTACAGCCCCAAAACCCTAAGCCGTTGATACTAAAGCCCCAAAGCCCTAACCTCTAAACCCTAACCCTAAACTCTAAACCCTAAACCCCAAAGCCCCCCTGCCGCCTTTTCTGTGGCCCAGTGGAGTGGCATGCGCCCACTGACAGGGCCTCGGAGGGACTCCGACACTCAGGTACCAGTTCAGAGTTTAAGGTGCGTATATGTGTATGTGTGTATGTATATATTTATATATATATATATATATATACATATATATATATAGATATGTATGTATATGTATCTAGATATGTGTATATGTAATACATGAAAACAAATACATATTTATGTATATGCCTATGTGTGGGTACATGTATAGATAGATAGATAGGTTTAGGGTTTAGTTTAGTTAGGGTTTAGGCTTCAGGTCTCAGGGAATAGGGGTTCTAGTCACTGCTGGCCGGACTGCATCTGCTGTGCACCAATGTCGGAGGGGTTCTGGTGTTCTATCCCAAAGTGTCCTAGGCATTAATGTGGTGTATACTTCCCCAAATCATAATAGTAATTCATTGTTATCGAAACCTTATATTCTACTATATAGGTGCTTCTAACCCAGAGGGTCTATATACACTACGATTATGGAATTAAATTAGGTACCGAAAGACCATCCCTATGGTTTTCGGTACTTAATTCCATAATGGTAGTGTATATGGACCCTCTGGGTAAGCTGTCACCGCAACTGTGCGTTGTCAAGCCTGCAACACATAAAGACATAGGCTGTACACCTGAAATCACCGCAGACCTATGCCTCTGCCTTCAAAGAACTGGGAACACCCAGCCATCCCGCAAACCCCCAAGCCCGACATACGCTCAAACACCTACACTCAACCTTTAAACCTGAAAGAACCCTAACCCCTATAAGCCCTAAACCCTGAAAGACAACCGAAATGAGTCCGGCCCCCAACTTTCCCAGCCTGCTAGACCCGAAGTCTCCAAGAGCCTGAACCCCGTAATTCAGCGGCCCTGAAAATCGGAGTAGAGTTTGTGGGTATGTTATACTTAATATGTCAGAAGGCTTGCATAGGCACTTGAAGGAATTGTAATTGTTCAGGCAATAAGAATCTGTGAAGCACCGTGGGGGGTTTAGGGTTTATAACGGTTTAGGGCTGAGCGTTGTAGCAAAACACAGTGCGCGACTAGCTCTTGGCACCACAGCCTGTCTTTCTGTAGGTTCCAGACCTGAATGAACCCTGATACGTGTAATTCCCCAAGCACTGACTGCCAAAAAACGGAACCCTATAGCCACTAATTAAACACATCTAAACACACTTCAAGGGCCCTAAGTCCAATGCCTCAACCCCGTAATCAAACCCCTCAAGCCCAAATGTGAAAACCTTAGCCGAAACCCAAATCCTCCACCCTAAACCCTAAACCCTGAGCCCTTGACCCTGACCAGCCAAACCCCGTAACTCTAAGCCCAAGCAGCCCTAAACCCAAACCGCAGAACCCTGACTCCTAAACCGTTTCTCCAGGATAAAACTCTAAACCCAAACTCTAAACCGGAAACCCCTAAACCCTGATTCCTAGCTCATATAAGCCCTGAATCCTAAACCCTACACCCCAACTAAACCCTAAGCCCTGAATCCTAAACTCCTAAACCCCAAAGCCCCGAATCCCAAACCCTTCGGTTGATGATATAAATCCTGCATTACCCATAATAAGGAGTATACCATAATCCCCGTAGTTTAGGGTCCTTAAAGTAATGCTGGATTTATATCATCAACAGTTTCTCCAGGACCAAAGCAGCCAAACCCCTAAACTCCAAGCCCAAGCAGCCTACACCCCAACTAAGCTCTAAGCCTTGAATCCTAGTCCTAAACCTGAATCCCAAACCCTTTCTCCAGGACCAAAGCGGCTCTTCAGGCTCAGGGAGGCTCCAAAAAGTTCAAACTTTCTATGATAGAGCTAATATATTAGGCCAAAAAGTCAAAAGTTCCTCCGTTCACGATCGAAGCCAAAGCGGCTCTTCAGGCTCAGAGAGGCTCCATGCTGGCACAGGAAGCGGACGGATGCTGCGTCGGCGTGCTGCCTCGAAGGCTTTCTTAAAGGGTCCTACTTGGAGGATCATGGGACTTAGTAAGTAAAGTTATAAGTACCCTAATCGGGGTTATAAGTAGTTATAAGTATAATTACCCTGATAATAACCCTCGTTACTAAGTCCCATGATCCTCTAAGTAGGTACCTATAAGGGTTCTCTTTAAGGGCTCCTTTGAAGGCTTGCTTTAAGGGGTTCGTCTAAGTTGTTGGGGATACTTAACCGAATCATACTAACAAATCCTATTACAGAAACCGTACCTTCTCCTGTATAGGTACTTAGGACGCAAGGATGGAGAGCTCCCCAAAAACTCCCAAACCTCCTAGTTAAGGAACGTACATCGTACCACATACTACGGCTCCTATAAACCCTAAACCCCAGACCGTGGCTCAGTTCCTATGGCTCAGGGGTGTCTGGGGCTTGGGATTAGGAGCATATCAAGCTCCGGCCCCTAACTGTGCCAAAAACCTTTCGACCCTACCCATAGCCTCCATTGTAGCTCCCTGTTTTAGTTATGAAAGCTTATGAAGTTCTTCATCTAAGATCCACTAAAGTACCCCAACACAAGGAACTTAGACCATAGAGGCTCAAGTCGATCCTAACTCAAACCCCAGAGCACAAAACAATAAACACACAAACCTGGACCCTACACCTACTAACTGTATGCTTCAGACGCGCTACTGCAGGAATACCTGAATACCTTATACGTCTCAAATCTAAGTACGGAAGTACGTTGAACGCCCACGGCTACTTCCTGTCCCGGTGGCGCGGCTGTCTGAAGGAGCAGCTGATGCTCCTTCGGCTTGGAAGCATTGGACACCTCGCAGAACACACAGGACGAAACTCACGTTTCAATTTGTTTTTCAATAGCGGCTCTTTTGGGCCCTTTATACGAGCTACGAGTTCAGTACCAGGGCCCCGCATGTTCCGAAACTCACATTTCGGTCTTGCGATGTGTTTACATGTTTGGCAAGCACAAGAAGCCAGCAAAATCAAAGCCTCCAACCTGCTGGAGCTCGCAAGTTCCACTCAAATCCTAAATAGTTCCACCCAGCCCTACTTCGCGGTCTCAACTCTCAACAAGCCCTCTCATATGCGTCCTGAATAAAACCAAGCCCCTGAGGCCATAAGACTGAACCCTTACACTCGAATTCCACGAACCCTCAACCCACCCCCAGAGAGCCCAACACCCCATAATCAAGGAATAAAGCTTAAATCATAATACGAAGCCCCTTGTAATTTAAGGTACATTGCTTAATCAAGGGGTCTTGGGCTCTCTGGGCCCAACCTGAACGCTGGTGAGCCGAACCCTGTATAATTTACACCCCCGTAGAACCCCATGGCCGTTTGCACTCCCCTAAGCCCAAAACCCTAAACCTTACATAAACCCAACTATAGAACCCCATAAACTTCTGATTTGTCCCAAACCCGAAAACCCTCCCTGCATACCTGTACTTGGAGGTTCACGGGTAGTGATAAAGTGGAGCTTTAAGTAGGATCACTGTAATTCTAACGCAAAGTCACCCTACTTACAACTGTCCATGAACCTCCCAGACCCTCAGAGGACCTTGAAAGGTAGACACTCTAATGGGTGACCCTATTCTACTTTTAAAGGATGCTTCGTAGAAACCCCTTTGAGGGTTCCTTCAAGAGTTCATTTACGAGTTCCATTTAAAGGTTCCCGTACTTTAAGAAATCCCTTAACGGCTCTTTTAATGGTTCCCTTACGAGTTCCTTTAAGGGTCCCTTTGAGGGGTCCCATACTTGGAGGTTCATCGGTAGTTATAAGTAGGGTTATAAGTCCCCTAATATGGGTTATAATAACACATTTCTTACTTGTAACCCCATATATAACTACCCATGAACCTCCAAGTACCCCTTACCGAGATATCCCTTCGATTAAACTCTTTCTTCAAGGTGGTCTGGGGTCCCTGATACTCCGATAGTTCAGAGACACCTACCTCCATCGTGTTCGGTACCGTTCTACTCTCAGGGAAATCCAGGCCATTCATCCTAAACTGGAACCCTAGAAACCTATCACCCTAACCCTGAACCCTGAACTTGAAGAACATCCCGCAACCCCCAAACTCTGAGACGCGCTTCTATACGCTGGACAGTCCGAAGGGGAACAGGCCGAACAGGAACAGGAACCCTAAACCTTAAACCCTAAACTCTAAACCTAAAGTCGCCCTCTGACTGGCACTCGCCTGCGGCGTCGCCCCTGCATCCAACAAAGCGTGGACGAGGCGTGAGGATCCCGTCGGTTTCCTGGGAGCAAGGGAAAACCAAATTATACTCTTTACTTTAGGCTTTAGGGTTTGGGGTTTAGGATCTTAGGCTTTAGGGTTTGGGGTTTAGGATTTTAGGCTTTAGGGTTGGGGTTTAGGATTTTAGGGTTTAGGGTTTGGGGTTTAGGGTTTGGGGAACCAAAGTACCCAAAGGCTCCGTAGTAGTTCCTTTTTGGGGTTCGTGTTTAGAATCTTATGAGGTAATCCCCAAAAGGAACTACTATGGGGCCTCTGGGTATACCCTTTATTCACGAAAAAACCTTAACATATGGGTGGCTTACTGTCACAACGTCTTGTTCCTGGATTATGCGGTACTGGACTCTCTAGAATGCAAAGCGCTAACGGCGGTAGCCAGTTTGAGAAAGGGCAGAGAATGGTCATAAGGGCAGTTGAGGGGTTTAGGTTTTAGAGGCTCAGGGTTCGATGGCTGAAACGGATAACATGGATCAAAGCTATCAACCTCTAGGAGTGCTGAGGGCTCTATAAAACGCCTTGTAGGCTTATAGGGCTTAGAGAATCCGGGTTCTTGGCAGTAGAAGCCCAAGATATAGGGCCCAAGAAAGCACATAAGCGCAAAGATAAGAATAGGGATAATTATCCCAAGTAAACCCCGGTATGATGAAGCCCAGTAAGGTAGGGATATCCCCTATAAAATGCTTGTGCTTATGTCCTTTTGGGGTCCCTAAAGATACCCAGAGAGCCCAATACCCCTGACTTTATTGAATATAGCTTAAATCATAATAATATGCAGCCCCTCATAGTTTAGGGTATATTGCTTAATTAACCCTAGGCATCTAAGGACTCATATATTAAGGCTTTTGGGCCCAAAGACCATACTATATGAGGCTTTTGGGCTACTTTGATGCCCAGGGTAAGGGGTATTGGGATCTCTGGCCTCCAAAACCCCTTAACTAAGGAATATACCTTAAATTACAATAGGATCCCTAATATGATTTTGAGGTATATTCCTTCATTAAGGGGTTTTGGAGTCCCCTAAACCCTAAACCCTATAGATCCCTTGTAGATCCCTTTAAAGGAACCCTAGGTATACTTTGGGTAACGGAAGCAGATAACTGGAGCGGAGCCCGGAGGCATCTGACTCGATTGCTCGGCCTTGGGGTCCCAACAAGTTGCATCGTCCTGGAGGCCCCAAGCAGGGACCCTAATCAACTTTGCCACATATATATATATATATTATATTATATATATATATATATATATATATATATATATATTATATTATATATATATATATATATAATATGTGTCTGTCTGTCTCTCTCTCCCTCTCTCTCGCTCCTTCCCTCCCTCCCTCCCTATTTCTCTCTCTCTCTCTCTCTCTCTCTTTCTCGTTCTGTTTTCTCGCTCTCTCTGTCAACGGACCCCACGCAAACCCACCCAAGCTCCAAACCACGCTCCAGGGCTCTTCAGCAGGAGCAGCATCCGAAGAAACCATGGAGAACAGGGTAAGCAGTCTGTCTTCTCTCACGAAGGTGAGACGATGGATAACAAAGCAAACGAGTCTCATTGTTATGGTAAGTTAAGCTAATCGAGTTCAAGAACTAGGATGCCCAGTAACCTAAGAAAAGAAGGGCTACCTTTTTGGTCTAGGGTAACTTTTTAAGGAACCGAGGACTGCAAAATGGGAATAAGGGTACTACTGGGCATTCCTAGACAACGAGTCCGGAAGAAGCCATGGAGACAAGTCTCTGGATTGCTTCCTTCAGGGGCATAAAGGGCAGGTCTTCTGACGTCCGCGAGTTGTCGAAGCTGATCGTGCAAAGCCCACGGCCACTGATGACCTGCCACAAAATCTCAATCCCTCAAAAACCCAGATCCAAACTTAAATCACGTCACCGGTTTAGGGTTTAGGGTGAATCATGTCACATTCAAGCTTAACGAACAACCGCCAAGAGATAACCGCTGTATGAGCACTCAGAGACCCAGTTGGAGCGACCTCATATTGGTCTGCCAGATCTTGCTTTGTAAGAGTAAACCTAGGTTTCTAGGGTTCCCTTAAAGAGATCTATAAGGATACTATATAGGGATTAGGGTTTAGGGTTCCTGGGTAGCGCTTTTTATAATAATAAGGATACCCTTTTTCATAGTGTTTGGGTTTAATGAGGGAACCCTCGAACAAACAGGGCAAGAGGGTACTACTCAGGAACCTAGAAAACCCGAAAACTCCGTGAACCCATAACCAATTCAGCAACAGACCTGATCCCCGACACCCTAAAACACTGAACCCCCCAAACTTGAATCTTGTGAAATATTCGTAGCCAGGATTCAACATAGTATCTTCAACCCTATCAATTAACCCGAACCGTGGAGTGCACATAGTCTCGATCATCCTATCTGTGGAGAGCCCTCTTTGACCTCCTAAACCGTTCGGGGTTTCGGGAACAAGCTAGTGGCTAAGCTACTGTCCAAAAACAGAAAAGAGCTACCTAGGGGCTGAGTATCCGAGCCCCAAAAAAGATAACTTTATCCATCATGGTAGGATTATTCTACACCCCAAGAGGTTAAAGGTTACCTTCTCAGCCGGCAAGGCTACCTACGCGGCAAGACGCGCGTTGTACGAATCCCGCAAATCCGAGGTTACCTAGGGACCACCAAAAGCACATAAGCATAAGCATTTTATGGGGATATCCCTACCTTATTGGGCTTCAGTATAAGGGGATATATATATATATATATGGGATATCCCCATCCTCAGTTTTGCTTATGTGCTTTTTGGGGGCCCTATTACCTGGTTCCACCAAACCCTGAACCGCAGCGCAAGATCCCAAGCCCGAAAATCTACAGACCCTCCACCCTACAGTAGAAGCCCAAAAGTTGGATACCCAATAGCCTCAATCCTTAAGAGCCATGTAGAGGGAATCCCAGCACTGTTTGGCCTCAATCCGGTTTCCAACTTTATGGGGTTTACTATAAACTTAAAGCATTAAGGACCCTAAACCCCAAACTCTATAGACCCCAACCCCTAAACTCTAAACCCTTATAAAACTCAATCGATCCTAAACCCTATAGGCTCTAAAGGCTTCAAGGCCGAAACCGAAAACCCACGTGGGAGTTTCCGAAAACAAGGGGCCCTAATATAGTACCCTCATTAGTAGGATCCTTACTATAAGGACCCCAAAAATCAGGCACCCCAAATTACCCTAAATAGTAGGATCCTCATCATAAGGACACCGAAATAAGGCACCCCAAATTTTCGGAAACTCTAAGCCCTTACAGCGGCCTTTGAAGGAACCCTTATAGCACCCCTTATAGTAGCCCTTTAAAGGAACCCACCCAAAGGTAGCCCCAAATTTTCGGAAACTCCCACATCACTGATGGCCGGACCGGTGTGAACGAAGATCCGGAGCCGGATGCGAGGGGCGTGGAGGAGCCAGACCTGAGCATCCCAGAACGGGTTTAGGTTTAGGGTTTAGGGTGTTTAGGGTTTAGAGTGTAGGGTTTAGGGTTTAGAGCTTAGGGTTTAGGGTTTAGGTGCAGGGTTTAGGGTTTAGGTGTAGGGTTTAGGGTTTAGGGTGTGGGGTTTAGGGCCCCGAGAGTTCAATATCCATTGATAAGGAGTACAGGCCGAGGGTTCCTTCAAGGGTTCCTTTAACTTACCTTTGGTTTGTAGGGAATGGAGGAATGGGGTACAATTATAGCTACTATTGCTACCATTCTTCCATTCCCTACTACCCAAAGGTAAGTTAAGGGATCTATAGGTTTTAGCCAGATTTCCCTTGTTCAAGGAATAATAGCAGGGGTCCCTATATGATACCTTAGCGACGTAAGGAATATAACTTAACCTATAGTAGGGGTCCTTGACATGATGTAAGGTATATTCCTCGACTAAGGGATAATGGAATCTCTGGGCAACCAAGGTCAGCTTACATGTCTGTCGATTCGAGGGTTGGGGTTTAGGGCTTAAGTTTTCGGGCTTAAGCTTTCGGGTCTGGGGTTTATGAGTTTAGGGTTTAGGGTTTAGGGGTTTAGGGTTTAGGGTTTAGGGTTTAGGGTTTAGGGTTTATGAGTTTAGGGTTTATGAGTTTAGGGTTGGTTTTTTAGGGTTTGCCCTAAGGCTCCAAACAGGGTCTTGGGCCTTCCGGGGGAGGGTTTCGGCTTTGGGAGCTAGGGTTTCGGACCCTACTCCAAGGGTCCAGGAACCTTAGGGTGGAGTTCAAGAGCACAGTTAAGGTCTAAATTAGGATTCAGGGGTGTTCGTCGACTTTGCTGGGCTTCCTGTCTTCCTTTCGAGGTCCCTGGTCATGCAGGATTTAGATCATCAACAGTAGCACTACGAGCCTAATATCAACATCGGACTGTACGGCAACGGCCGCTGCTATAGCTACTGCGCATCGGCAGGAGAAGCAGCAGCAGCAGCGGGAGCAGCAGCGGCAGCAGCAGTGCATCACAACAGCAGCAGAACTAACACCAGCACCACAGCAACATGACGTTTGTTCTATCGACCCGAGCGCTTGGAGCCCCAGCCGGCCGTCAACAACCAGGTATGCCGTGCCGGCATCGCAGTCGATTGCCTGAAGCTTGTGTCCGAAAAGAGCTGGGATGTTGCGATCTGAAGCTGATGGAAGCCGTTGTATCAAAAGGAAGCATCAGCGATATCAAAGCACACAAAGTACCTGGTGGCAGTGTTGGCACAGTTGTGTTGGTCGCAGTCGTCGTCGTCTCGTCGTCGTCATAGTAGCCGTAGTAATATTAGTAGCATTAGTAGTAGCAGCCGTAGTAGTAGCAGTAGCAGGTAATAGTAGCAGTAGCAGGATCAGCAGCAGTAGCAGTGGCAGTGGCTGTGGCAGCAGGACTAGGACCAGCCAGGAGCAGGAGTAGGAGTAGGAGTAGTGGTCGTTTCTTCGTATAGTCGTATGTTCGTATAGTCGTACGGTCGTACATTCGTATAGTGGGTGTGTGGGTGTGTGGACGTGTCGGGGTCGGTGTCGATATGTATGTGTATATGTTTGTAGGTTTGTGGGTGTGTGTGTGTGTGTGTGGGGGTGTATGTGCTTTTGTGTTCGTGGTAGTAGAATACTTTGTTCCCCAAGCCCCGTGCACTGAACCCCAACCCGAGAGCCCGAGAAAGCCGTGCAGGCCCAAAGTTAGAGGCTGCAGGCTCATCAACCCCCAGAGAGCCCGATACCCCTTTATTTCCGGAATATACCTTAAATGATAGGGGACTTAATATTATAAGTTAAGGTATCTTCCTTAGTTAAGGGGTATTGGGCTCTCTGGGTCAGGCCCAGGCACGATACCAACGGTGCCGTTCGTAGGCCAGGGCCGCTTGTCCGTGAGCCATTTCACCTTGCTGAGGTTTACCGCTGAGGATACCTATACGAGAGTTTCCGAAAATTTGGGGGTACCTTATTTTGGGGTCTTTATAGGAATAAGGATCCTACTATTTTGGGGTATAATATGAGGGTCCCCTGTTTTCGGAAAGTCCCATCATAGGGCCTTGCCAGGGCTTTTTTTGGGTGCTAAGGCTTAAGGCTCCCGGGCTTCACGGGTTTAGCCTTAGGGGGCTTCCCAGAGGTCCCAATACCCCCTTACTGTTGATGAGAAAAACCCTGCATTACCTTGAGGACCCTAAACTATGAGAATTATGGTATATGTCTTTTTTATGGGTAATGCAGGATTTATATCATCAACCGTATCACTAAGGAACAGACCTTAACCCATAGTATTAAGGCCCCTACAATTTAAGGTACTTAGAGGATCATGGGACTTAGTAAGTAGGTTACAACTTGGGATATAAGTCCCCTAAGTGGGGTTATCCTAATTATAACCTACTTATAACCTTACTTACTAAGTCCCATGATCCTTTAAGTATATTCCTTAAACCCTAGTGGTAAGGCCCCTAATTAGAATTTTAAGATATATTCCTTCATTACGGGGGTACTGGGGGATCTCTGAGTTGCAGCTCGATTCTTTCTTGGGGCCTCCTTGCGAACATCGATTTTGGAGACTTTGGGGTTCGTTTTGCGCAAGCCAAAGAGGTAGGTAGATCCCAGAGACCCCAGTACCCCTCAATTAAGGAATATAGCTTTCAGCATAATATGAATCCCGCTATGAATTAAGGCATATTCCTTAATTCAGGAGTATTGGCCTCTCTGGGTTCTCCTCTTTCGGGATGATCAGGGTGTCTTTTCAGATGTTAATTGAATTCGGAAAGCAGGTCTGGCTACCACAAGGGATCAAGTGAGCACCAGGTGCTTCGCTTGAAGTTCAGGCCACATGCCGCACCCTGATATGAATCCCTGAAACTGTAACAAGATAGCCTGAACATTGAAATCGATATCTTATTCCCTGAATCGCAAACGGCCTAGGCCCCAAGTGACTGCCCTCTTCCGTTGAGCACCCCGTAATGTCAAGAAGGCAGGAACTCCTACGAAGAGATTCCGGCGAATACTGGTAAACCCATGCAGTCAAACCCTAAAACCCCGAAAGGACAAACCCTACGTAAAGGATCATGGGACTTAGTAACTAGGGTCATTACTAGGGTAACTATACTTATAACTTATAACCCCAATTAGGGTACTTATAAACTTACTTACTAAGTCCCACGATCCTCCAAGTAATCAAGCATAGCCCTATAAGCCCGAACCCCAAACTCAAGAAACCTGAAGCTCGAAACCCATAACACCCAAACGCACAAACCAAGCCTATCCCTCCTATAACAAGCGAAGCCCACACCCAAGAAACTTGAAGACTGAAACCCGACCCTAAACCCTAAACCCGAACTCCTAAACCCTAAACCCCTAAACCCTATACCCTAAACTCTAAACCCTAAACCCCTAAACCCTATACCCTAAACCCTAAAACCGTCAAGAAACCTGCAAGGCGAAAGCGCTAAACTCAAGGATGGCCTCTGGGCTCTGGCCGCCGCAGCTCACTGCGAAGCCGATGCGCGCGTCGTTGAGGTAGGTGTGGCCTTAGAATCCCCAAGGGTCCAAAGGACCCAATAATTAAGTACTCGGTTTTAGGATAGTAGTTATGTAGGTTAGGATTTTGGAGAGTATATGATTATTGGGTACTTGGACCCTTGGGGAATCTAGGTTGGCCCTTTAAAGCCTCTGAAAAATATTCGTAAATAGGGTCCTATTAAGCCCAATAAGGGAACATATCAAACATCCCAAAGGCTTACCTAGGAATACAGGGGCCTTAACAGTTACAATGGCTTTTCCGGAAGGGCAAGACAGACTCTGAGGGCTACTAATTCTGTTATTTTTAAATACTCTCTTGGCGTTTCCGTTTGAATGGGTAGACATCGGCAAGAACATCTAAAGGTCTAGTTGCTGGTGTCCTTGGGATGTTGAGCGCAAAATCGAAATCCCAGGACCGAAGCCCTTCAGTTGCAGGAATAAGAACCCTCAGGGTCCATGTACCCGCAACCGGCCTCTACTTGTTCTATAGGACTACGACGATGAAGGTATCGTGAGGGTTTAGGGGCTTAGGGTCCAAGACCCAAATAATATAGCGCCCCAAAGTAGCACTATAGGGACAACTTTCAGGCCAAAGTAGATGCTATCTGGGTACATGGACCCCCAGGGGGAGTTGCTTACAGTTTAGGGGCTTAACATGCCTTAGCTCGAAATCTTAGGTCGTCAAGCTGAGATCAGCCGTCTAAGCCGACTCAAACACATAGAGGTCTAACTCCAAGCCTTATCATCTGACCCCAAACCCCATTAAAAATAAAAAAAAACAAGAACTGACACCCCAACCCCTTCCCTTCTTAACCCTAAAACCCAAAAAACCTATGAAGCACAAGCCCTACGCCCCGAACCGCAAACTCTAAGCGCACTATAGACCCTAGCAGAGCGACGGAGCTCAAAATGCCAGCGCCCCTGGGTCAGCTGGCATGGGACGGTGCGGATGGTGCCTTCAGAAGCTGTCGGTCTTGCAATTCAGGCAGCCTGGTTCTTTGTAGGGAATGGGGGAATGGATTAGGGAGACTGTTATTGAGATTTTGTAAGGACTCCTCTAGAGATCTAATTCCCCCATTCCCTACTAAGAACCAGGGAGCAGGGTTGAGGGGGGGTGTTTAAGAGTTCAGGGCTTAGATGCTTCACTTAATACTTAAGGTTCAGCGGGGGGTTTAGGTCTGCCCTTCCGGAGTTTTGGGGTGTAGTAGACTAGATTTGAATTTCAGGAATCTTCACGAACAGTAGAGCTCTGTATATTGCTGCTATCTTGCATGATAATGACCTTCGTCACCCTGGGCATGGAAGGTTAACTTGCGGATTGATTGGACTGCTCCCACACTTATCCGGAGAGCCCAATACAGCGTAATATGCGTTACAACATGAGGGCCTTCAATCCCCAAAAAACAAGTTTCTACTTGTACAATTAATATAAGGGACATTGGGCACTGAAGCCTTTCCGCTGAGCATTTCGAAGGGTCTGGGAAACGGCCTCAATACTTAGACTGTTTTGGAGATATAACTCTTAAACTAAACTCAAAGGGAAGTACATAACAGGATGTGTTATCCACTATCCCGGCTCCTATATTACATTCATTAAACCCTAAACCTTGAACCCTGAACCCTAAACCCTACGTTACTTGACAAAGCTCGGCCTGCATCAAGGCTGTAGAAGCACGCATCGGCAGACTGTACGATCTTCGGAGCCGCCGTAGCTGATGATTCAGGATTGCCTCAGCTATCTATACTGAACTTAGAACCCTCGCAAAAATTCTAATTTTAGCTCTTTCTTAGGGATTATAATAACCAAAATTCTAAGTACCCCTGAGTTATTATACAGGCTGTCGCCTTACAGGTTCCTTTGAGGGTACCATGCTGCGGTAGGACGAGCAAAAGCCCCCCTTCCCCCATAGAATCCTATCAAACCAGACCAACCGGCTACCCTAAACCCTAAACCCTAAACTCCTCCGGAACATGAGTTAAAGCAGTATAATTGCAAAAGGGGTCTAGAATACTCCGCTGGCAAGGCCACGTACATCGCACTTTTCGGTACTCCGCTACTCCGCAACACGTCTTAAGACGAGAAAGGTCCGGTAATTTGGTCAAAACTTCTGTCCTCCCGATGTAAGGGGCCCCTTTAAAGGATCCATAAGGGTTCTATGAGGGTTTAGGTTTAGGGTATAAGGGTCTATGCATCGTGGAAAGCCTAGCTAGCGAAGGACTTCCATAATTGCGTGCGTTGCTTCTGCTTCCTTTAACGATCCCTAAGACAAGGGCCTTAATGATCATGATAGGGTTTGGGTACCTTTTACCATACTTATAACAAGGATCCCCCCTCAAAAAAAAAGAATATATATATATATATATAGATAGATAGATAGATAGATAGATATACTTGTAATTATTGAGGCTCCTACATTACACCATCCCCCCTCCGCTCCCGGGTCGAGCATAGTTCTGGTGGCCTTGAAGACCCGGCAACGAAAGGCACCAGAATGCAGAGCCAACCCGGGGGCTCCCCATATACCACTATGGGCTATTAGACCTTATGGGTACCTTAATCTACCCTTAATAGGGTCCTAATAGGGATCTTTAGGGCCTAATAGCCCATGGTGGTAAAGGGAACTCCAGAAAGTTGGAATATGGATTAATGGTAGGATCCCCTATAATTTACCTTAAAGGGGTTACGATAATGTTTTTCCAACTTTCTGGCTTCTACTGTAGTACCAATATGGAATGAGGTCCCCAAACCCGTAACACTGTGATGGACGAAATCCAGCATCACCCATTATAAGGAATATACCATGGCTCCCATAGTTTAGAGTCCTTAGGGTCATGCAGGATTTTGTCCATCAGCAGTATGGATGGTCTTTTGGGACCTAATTCCATAATGGTACTGTATATGGAACCTCCAGGCAAGAGACCAGGATCCCAAGCAAGACCACAGATACAGGGGCGGGGGGGTTAGGATACCATGAGGAGGGAGCAAGGGGCACCGGCCCGGCATCATATACATATATATATATATGCATGTATACATATATATATATATATATATTTGGTCACGCCCCCCCCCATGATCCATACCATGTTTTTTTCTACCTCCTGCTGCTCATGCTTCGATTTCTACATGACTTCACCTACATACAAAATCATCGGTATTTGCGGTATTTTCTGCACCTAGCATCTACTTAGCTCTACATGTTGTAATTTGTTCTCACATGTTATATCCCCACGAAACCCGAAACGGATTCTGATTTCACTTTCGGGCTCCGCTCTTCCATCCAAAACCTGGCACTCCATGTTTCAGAAGGCATCACCGGTGGTTGTGCAAAAACTTCAACATGTTGCCCGTCACTGTTGCCATGTTTTGGTGCCGATGCCAATACTCAAACTGGCAGCTTCGAATCTTTCTGGTCATTGCCTGATTGCCTGGAAAGCGTGACACATACTTCAAGTGTGTTCATAATATTATAGTACTAACGCTAATACTACTACTAATACTTATCACAATATTGATACTAACATCAATATTTGCAATAGTATTGATACTCCTACGAGTACGAATACATAATCTTTTGTGGTGTTAACAATAATGCTATCACCAACACTGATACAGATATTGACAATCTGCTGAATATTCATGAATGCCAGTACTATTACCAGCATGAACACTTATATTATGGCTAATACAACTATGAATAGTCTTAGTTCTAATATCAACATTAAAACTCCTACGAATACCAATAGTATATTCGTATTGATATGAATACTAATCTTTTTACTAATAGACACCTGCATATACTAATGTACATAAAAATACATACCACTATCTTAAGATACAGATATATACATTAGTGCATTCATGTACTAATGTTTTGGCATAAACATATACCCATATGCCAATGTAATAATATACTTCCCGTTAATGTATGAATATACTATACTAATATGCGAGTATACTAATATACGACTACTGCAACATGCAAGTATACCGACATGACAAATTAGTAGACTAATATGCCAACATACTGATATACTTGTAAATATGACTAGACAATACATGAGTATAGCACACATACTAGTAAACTAATACACCAATATACTAGTGTACTCGTGCACCAGTTGTACTAACATATCAAATATACAAGTATACAAGTATACAAATATGTTACTGTTCGAATGCATTAATAATATATTGATATACTAGTCTGCTACTATACGAAACTGTCAATATACTAACATAATCAAAACTAGTTCTAGTATTGATACTAATACTAGCACTTCTGCGAATATAAGCTGCGGTTAAACCCAACATTAAGACTGACACTGATACTAGCAGTGGTGCTGTATTACTGACATTGACACTGGCACTAGCGCAAACTCTAACACGAGCATGAGCACTGACACTAATTTATGTTTACTAATACTGACATGTATACTATTACAGCAAACACTAGTACTAATATTCATCCCAATACCGATACTTCCACAAAACTATCACGTAACTCATGTGCCGCGCGTCGGGCGCATGCGTCCTCAGTACATGGCATGTCAAAGTATATGTTGTATATATACTGCAAATGTTTTACTTTACAGATTGTCGTCGGGTGTGGTGTGCTTTGATACAATATCTCAAAGAATTGGTGGCATCGAGAGCATCTTGCAAGTATATGTCACCCCCGTCGCGGATCATGCTGGAAAAGAGGAAAAGAGGGACACAAACGATGACTTTCACTCGGGAGAGAACTGCAACGGATATGTCGTGGAACATACCGCATCTTGACATGGCATTAAAACAAAGCATATGCCATGTGTATACACGTGACAAACAAAGACATAATAGGAACACAGCATCCAAGGTTAGCAAATGCCGCCTGGCTCGAAAATCACCAAAATTTGTAAAGCCTGAAATGCGAAAACATCGGCAGGGATCAAAAATCCCCAAAATTCCCAAAATCGTGGCATCTATGGGGCCATGGGTGTTTAGTTTTGCAAAACTTTGGGGATTTTCGAGCCTGGCAATGTTTTAGCATCCGACGTTGACGAAATGCCGCCAGGCTCGAAAATCCCCAAAATTTGTAAAGCCTGAAATGCGAAAACACTGGCAGGGATCAAAAATCCCCAAAATTCCCAAAATCCTGGCAACTATGCGGAGTGCGGGGCCATAGTCTCTCACATTTTGGGGATTTTGGGGATTTTTGATCCCTGCCAGTGTTTTCGCACTTCAGGCTTCAGGAATTTTGGGGATTTTCGAGCCTGGCAGTGTTTTAGCATCCGACGTTGACGAAATGCCGCCAGGCTCGAAAATCCCCAAAATTTGTAAAGCCTGAAATGCGAAAGCACTGGCAGGGATCAAAAATCCCCAAAATTCCGATAATCCTGGCAACTATGCGGAGTGCGGGGCCATAGTTTCTCACATTTTGGGGATTTTGGTGATTTTTGATCCCTGCCAGTGTTTTCGCACTTCAGGCTTCAGGAATTTTGGGGATTTTCGAGCCTGGCAGTGTTTCAGCATCCGAAGCTGCCCTCCTCCCATGATCCACTGCTTACCAAAAGCAAGCATAGTATGGATCATGGGGGGGGGCGTAAGCATATATTTATATTTGTATGTTCATCCCTAAGCCCTAAACCCTAAATCCCTGAATCACTAAACCCTGAACCCCGAAGCCGCAGTCTGCTAAACCCTAACAGCGGGCGCTCGTATTTCAGGGTTTAAGGTTTCTGGGGCTTATAGGGTTTACTGGAAGAGAGAAGGGTTTCTGGATACATTGTAGCTATAACTATGACAGGGCTGTAAGTTCAGGCAATATTAGCACAAACTGCGCAGACTCCAATACCGAATGACAATCCCTGCAGTTCAAACCCGGTGGCACTTAAGGCCGCGGAAGTATCTTATGGGACTTGGTAACCCAGACCCCCTTTGGAGGATCCAAAAAGTAGATCCCTTAATGGGGGTTCCTTTAAAGTACCCTTAGTAGTATAGGGCCGGGGGTCTGGGAAGGAACGTCTTATGGAGCCCAGGGGATATGGGGGCCTTGGGTTCAGGGTTCAGGGCTTCGGTGGTTTGATGTCATTTTTTGGCTCAGTCAGGACGTAGGCAGGGTTTAGGGTTTAGGGTTTAGGGTTTAGGGGTACGGACCCCAAATCAGAAGTCAAGCCCAGTTCCAAATACCGAAAGAAAGTCCTTCTCTGAAAAAGGCTTTGGGGTCCAGCAGAACTCCAGTCACCTTGACATACCCTGAACCCTAAACCCTAAACCCCAGAAGAAATCCTCCCTAAACCCTAAACCCTACCTGAGCCCTATGATGCCATCCTAGGGGCTTGCTTGCGGCTGCTGTTGTTGATGACTCTGACCAAATCCAGGTCCAACGTGGGTCACTGCTGCTTTTTTGACCTTGCATGCAAGGGCTGAGTTGAGGGTTTGGGGGGAGGCTTACGGAACTACTGTTGATGATGAAAATCCTGCATTACCTTGAGGGCCCTAAACTATGGGAAGTCTGGTATATTCTTATTATGGGTCATGCAGGATTTATATCATCAACCGTATGTACCCTGGTCAGGTTGAGGGTGTATGATTCCGGGTTCTCGTCGTAGGGGTCGCGAATGGAGAAGGTTTTCCATAGGAGTCGCAGAATATGTTGCAATTCTTTGACCACTGATCAGAATAGTCAGAGTAGAAGTGATGATCTGTCAGTATTCTTCTAAAGCTAGGATCGCGATTCCTTTGTCATGAACTACTTGGCAGGGTCAGGGGGCTTAGAAGTAGGGACATTGATAGTAACCGTATTGTTACGTCATTCTAACCTCATCAAAGGGGTTCATAAGCCTATAATTACTACGTCAGGCGATACAACAATACCATCGTCAACATGCTGAGGAAACCAATCCCGTAAGTCCTACAACCCGGAACCCTAAACCCTTCGAGGAACCATAAACCCCGGGAAGCCCTTAAAGGAACCCCACACCCTAGAGCGCTGAAATTGCGGACGAAGTCGCCGCAATCTTCGCCGTCCTTCCACCGAATCCTGCTGCAAAGAGGGTATCAGGGCTCAGGTTTGAGGACTTAGGGTTCAAGGTTTAGGGCTCAGGGTTTAAAGGCTTAAGGGTTCAGTTTTTTTTTTTGAGAGCCTTTTTCCATCCGCTAGGCTCTCCGGGTTTAGGGTTCCGGGCTTAGGGTTCAGGGTTGACCTTTTTAGCGCGGCTCCTCCTCCTCCTCCTCCTGCGAAGAGCCCTCCTCCGGCAGGCTGGCCGAAGGTAGCTCCCCCAAAGCCGCCTGAAACTTGGTGGAGGTGCCCGCAGTAGTAGTAGCAGTAGTAGTAGTAGTAGTAGTAGTAGCAGTAGCAGTAGCAGCAGCAAAAGTAGTAGTAGTAATACTATATAGTTATTGTTAAAGAGAACAATAACAACAGTCATGAATACTAATGATAGTAACAACAATACTTGACAATAATGCTTAGGCTACTAACAAAAATCACTGGCCCCTCTATTCTCCAACTCTACGCCCTGACAGCCAGCCGCCTTGGTTTGGGCCACCAAAAGCAGGTGCCCCGAAGCCCGGCGCACCAAAGGCCGGCGCGGCACCGAAGGCCGGCGCGGCACCGAAGGCTGGCGCGGCAGGAAAGCCGGGAAAGCCGCCCACGGCGGGTGCTGCGGCTTTGGCGCCGAATCCGAAGCCCGGGGCTTGCTGCACCTGACTTGTTGAGCCCTACTGTTGATGGACAAAATCCTGCATTACCCATTATAAGGAATATACCATAGTTCCCATAGTTTAGGGTCCTTAGGGTCATGCAGGATTTTGTCCATCAACAGTAGTTTGTGTTTTTTCAGATACCCTGAACCACGATTGAGGGGGTTAATTAGGGCCTTATAAACCCTAAACCAACCGGTTGCGTTGTTGATTGAGACCTTCTACCTGAGCAGTAATCCTGGAGTAGCCTTATGAGGCAGGTCGGTGTTGCGGGTTTAGGTCTCCGAGCTTTCACAGATGGCACATGAAGGTTCTGGGTTTTGGTCTTAAGATTTATGAGACTCACCAAGGTCGTTAAACAAAAATAAGGCTGCAAAGCACCAAAAGAGCAAAGACTGCTTGACACGCCTAGGAGTACAAGCCAAGCCACCGATAAAACCAGCCTCAGATCTAAACCCTCGGCCCAATAATCAAATCCCCAAGCGAAGTCTATAATGCAAACTACAGGCATGCTATCAAAACGCGGAAATTAACACATCCATCCAACAAAAACCTGCAACAACTCTAAACAAGCCTGTCTACTCAACCTAAACCCCAGACCCTAAACCCATGCTCTAAACGCTAAACCCTCCTTTTTTCCGGCCCGGGGCTTCGGCTGTAAACACTAAACTCTACCTGTGGTCCAAAAAGCCTACCTTTTTAAGGAACTATACGTGGAAACCCTCATATAGGAGCCCTCAAAAGGTATAGGCTATTTTTCGGCTACACCCTAAGCCCTAAACCCTAAGTCTCTAAAACTTCTTGGACAGGTGCAACACGATGATTTTCAGGTCTGTACGGACGAGTCTGAGGTATCTTTTTTCACAGATGGGTCGGCTCTGGACAACGAGAATGATGCACTTCGTGTATGTTCATGGGCAGTAACAAAGGCTGTGGACGATGGCCCTACCAATCTGGAATTGGCGAAAGGTATTCTTCCGGGTGACCAACAATCTGTTTTCCGTGCTGAATTATATGCTGTCAACACTGCCATCTCCCTTGCCCCGAGATGCCACATCTACTGTGACAATTCTGCCGTTGTGACTATCCTTCTGCACCTGCTTGCGAATGGGTTTATAAGGAAACATTGGATCTGCCACCCTGACAGGGATCTTATTGCTACGATGGCTAATCTGCTCTCACACAAAGCTCCTGGGTCAGTTCGTGTCACGTGGGTCAAGGCTCATAGAGACTTTGCTAGTTCCACCTCGCCAAGGGACCCCTGGAGAATTCACCACAACTCCAAGGCAGATCAATCCGCCAAGGTCGCTCTTGGTCTTATTCCTGCCCCTATCAAACGTATTCGCTGTGAAATCCGAAAACTCCTTGATCAAGATGCCACTACAAGGGCCAACGCTGCTCTTTTCATGAGATCGATGATGGATGAGTTCTGAGCCACAGTTTTTTAGTTAGTGCATTTGCCTGCATGCAAGAGTCATGGCGGTAGTCTCACGTACTCGTACCGGATTCTACCCTGCCGGAATTGCCTAAGTCTCTAAACATCCCTTAGCTTCTAAGCCCTAAGCCCTAAATCTCTAAACATCCCTGAGCCCTAAGCCCAAAGCTTCTACGCCCTTAACCCGAAATCCCTAAACATCCCTGAACCCGAAGCTTCTAAGCCGAAACTCCTAAACCCTAAATTCCAAAACCCTAAAACTCTAAGCCCAAAGCCGCTAAAGCCCTTAACCCAAAGCCCAAGGCGCCGGTGCCTCGAAGCCCTAAACCCGAAATCCCTAGACCCTAAGCTTCTAAGCCCGAAATCCCACAGCCCAAGGCGCCGGTGCCGGGCTCTGACCGAAGCCGAAGCCGATTGAAGGCTGCGCTGCCGGACTCGCTCCGCCGGGGCTCTGGAAGCATAGCCTTCGGCGTTTCCGTTGAGGGGTTTAAGGTTTAGGGGCTAGGAATTTAGGGTTGAGGAGTTTAGGGTTTAGGGTTTAGAGGTTTAGGGTTTAGGAGTATAGGGTTTAGGAGATTTCGGGTTCAGGGGTTTAGGGTTTAGGAGCTTAGGGTTTAGGGGTTCGGAATTTAGGGTTCAGGATTTAGGGGTTCAGGGTTTAGGATTTTAGGGTTTAGGGGTTTGTGGGGTTTCCGGAGACTCCAATATCCCTTAGGGTTCCTGAAAAGGATCCAAAAAGGGATCTATAGGGTTCAGGGTTTCGGGGACTTCAATATCCCTTAATTGAGGAATATACCCTTAAACCATGTTAGGGATCCTACTGGAATATCAGGTATATTCCGTAAGTAAGGGAATAGTTTCCGAGTTTCCGGGATTTCCGGGGGAAGGAGCCAGACCGCGGAGCTTTTTAATGGTGCTAATATACTTAGGGCTTCAGGGTCAAGGGTTTAGGGGTCTAGGGTTAGGGGTTTCGGGCTTCTAATCCATATGATGCATATGGGTGGCCGTCAAAATTAGGGGCCCATTTCGGGTACCCTGAACAATAGGTGCCGTATTATAATCGGGACCCAAAAAGGGACCATGATTTTGACAACCGCCCATATGTGTTTTTACTTCTCTTCATTTTCGGGATGTCTCAGGCTTTATGATTCATTCGGAGTCTAACGTGCTTTCGGGTGGTTTCAATAGGTTTCCATCGGGCGCATAACGATGCAGAACCCTGATGAACGAAGCCGCCACGTTCAGTGCCTGGATATGACTCACTTCTGAGCAGCAGCAACCGTAAACCTACGGTTGATGATATAAATCCTGCATGACCCATAATAAGGAATATACCATAATTCCCATAGCTTAGGGTCCTATTAAGGTAATGCAGGCTTTATATCATCAACAGTACACCTAAATCCTAACCCCTTAGGGGTTTCTGGGCTTTTTGGCAGTAAGCCCATTCGGTCCCATCTGAACTACAATTTGCAGAAACATTGCTATGGAATACTGAAACAACGATGAAGACGAAAGGCCTCAACCAAAAGCTTCTCTGAATCCTAAACACTATATGTCAATATTGTCAATATTAGGCCCTAAGCCGTAAACTCTAAACCCGAAACCCAAAGCCCGAAACAAAACCTTCCTGGAGCCAGCAAAGCAGCGTTCCCGTGGAACCTCTCAGGTTGGAGAAGGAGCTTGTAATCTGCTGCCTGGTCAGGGTTTTAAAGTTCAGAGCTTAGGCTTAACCTAAATCCTGAACTCTTCGGCTTTAAGGGCTTAGGGCTTAGAGTGTTTTGACTCTGCTGCCTGGTCATGCCCGCCAGAGACTGGCCCTCCTCAGAATCATTTCTATCGCTTCTGTCGGGATTAGTAAACCCTACACCCTAAAACCCCAAACCCTAAACCCCTAAACCCTAAACCCTATACCCTATACCCTAAACTCTAAACCCTAAACCCCTAAACCCTATACCCTAAACCCCAAAACCCTAAACCCTGAAGGGATTAGCAATGAGAGTCAGAAGGCCACAAGGATGCCCACCCATAGAACCTATCTATCTCTATCTACTAACCTAGCTATCAATCGGTATACCTATCTAAAAACCGGCATGTCGATGTATCTATCTGCATATCTATCTATCTACTATACTATCTGTCGGTATATCTATCTATCTATGAATCTAAGCTGACCCAGGTTCGATCATGGTCAATCGCATTCCAATTTTGATGCCATTCGACTCCGCTTCGGGGCTCCTGGGCCGCAAGAGCGCCATATGGTTGATGATACAAATCCTGCATGACCCTAAGGACTCTAAACTATGGGAATTATGGTATATTCCTTATTATGGGTCATGCAGGATTTATATCATCAACCGTAGGGTTTAGGGTTAGGGGCCTTAAGGATTCGAAGAGGGTTTAGGGTTACCTTTAGGGTATAGTATGGGGCCTGAGAAGCCTTTAACGATTAGAATAAGGTTTTGGGCTCCTTGGCTGGAGGAGTTTTCGAAATTATCGTCACTTGCAAGGTTCCCTTTAAAGGGATCTAGAAGGGTTTCTATGAAACCACTAAAAGGGCTCTAGTTGGCCGGAGGAAGGCCGCCGGGGCTGGGGCTGAGGGGTCTGGGAGCTACACGGGTAGCTTTCTGACGTCTGGTCCCTTTTGGAGTTCCTTAGAGGGGTCTATTACGTACCTATACAGATGTATGCATATATATATATATATAATGGCTTCTTTTTAAGGTGCGATAAGGGCTCTAGTTGGGTAGTTCTCTACAGTAGGGTCCCTTCGAAGCTCCTTCTTTATGAAGGTGCCGCCTGCTTTTAGGTTCCGAAACGGGGACGCTAGTTTAGAGAACTACCCCTGAGGGGTGCCTTTAGGCGTTCTATGCGGGTAACAGAACTATGAGGGTTCCTTAAAACCTTGAAGTACCATAATTTCATAAGGGTTCCTTCATGGTGAGATAGGGGTGGCAGGTTCACTATTCGGGTGGAAGGGGATGCTTCGCTCAAAATGTGCTTTGGATCCCGAAATGATTCGCAAATTGAAGACAAGTTTTGTTCACGTTTAATTCTGGGGGTTTGGAAGGTTTTCGCGCGACTCTGCTGTCAAGGCTTCTGAAGCCGGTTAAGTGGTTGAGCAGCTTTCGACCTTTACCTGTGCTGCGACTTTGAATAGGTCAGGCTACGTCTATGAACCCAAAGCCTAATTCGAAAACGCCAGTCACGTCCTCCTGGAGCAGCTTCTCTACATCTCGAAGCTGCAAAGAAGAAGCTTGCCCTTAACCCTGAACCCCTAAGGGTCCATGTACCCATATAGAGATACATGGGCCCCAAAGTACCTATATAGGGACTACATTAAGGCCAATGTATATACTATATGAGTACATGGACCCCTAGGGTACATCAAAGAGTCATAATTTGGGACGTGTCTGTGATTGTGTGTGTTTGTGCGTGCCCAACTTCGTGTAAGATGATGTATTATCTGCTGTCCTAGCCTTGCATGGGTTGCTGCGCTTGGCAAAAGCCTTTTATGGCTGGTAGATCTGCTTGTCACACTTCGAGAGAATAGTCGAGAACACACATTCAACAAAATTAAACTTAAAGAAATGTAGCATTCTTGACTAGAGCAATATTAGCAAGTGTCTAGCACAGTATATTCTGCTATACTCTAATTGAGCTGGTGCGGGAAATCCGGGGATTCTGGTTGGATTTTACCCCAAACCCTAAGCCCTAAACCCTGATTACTAAGCCCTAAGCCCAAAACCCCACATGTATGTGGTTGGGAATTCCCGGGGATTCTCCCGGGATTCTTCTGGGGTTCTGGGAGATCATGAGTTCATAATCTACCAACCCCACACCGAGTGCGGAGCGACTGTGCAGAGTTTAGGGTTTAGGCCGTTTAGGCTTTAGGGCTTAGGCAGTTTTAGGCTTTAGGGGTTTAGGGCTGAACTCATAAACATGCAGCACCTCTGTAGGGACAGAAGCAGCATTAGCCAGTTTGCCACAAGACTACTCAATGATAAACGAGCTTCCAAGGGTACCTTGTAAGCACTTGTCCCATGTACAAGCCTACTTGAGTACTACACAACTATACTAGTCCGAAATCATAAATATTGAGACCCTTGTAATCGCTCCCTGGGTGGAATCCCTGCCGCCTTTATAGTGGCCGGGTCGCTTGATGCCACTAACGTAGGCGCCCTCATCGTCGAAGCCCTGAGCGGTGGGGGTGTCAAAGGAAAGCTCTCTGTGGCCGCCACCACTCACCCAAAGGGTCCAACGGTTGATGATATAAATCCTGCATGACTCATAATACGGAATATACCATAATTCCCATAGTTAGGGTCTTTGAGGTAATGCAGGATTTTTATCATCAACCGAAGTAATAGTATAGTATTCACTTTGGAGTCTAAATAATGTAGGAACCTAAGAAACCCCGGGCCAAGAACCCCAAAATACTAGGATTCATACAAGGAACCTTAATAAAGGCACAAGGTTTCTTAATCAGGCTTCTGCATTACCTACCAAGTACCTACTATCTATACTGAACTTAGAACCCTAGCAAAAATTACAATTTTCGCTGTTTCTTAGGGATTATAAATATTAACAACCAAAAATTGAAAATGTATTTCAAAGTACACCTAAGCTATAATAATGGTCCTTGGGCTCTTTGGGTCGGCGTCGGGACGAATCCGAAGGCTGGATGCTTACTTGGAGGGTCGGGGGACTTAGTAACTTTCTATTTTAGGGACTTATTTATAAGTACCATAACCCCAATTAGGGTCCCTTTTAGGGTACTTATAAGTCTACTTACTACCTACTTACTAAGTTCCCCGACCCTCCAAGTAAGGCTTACAGGTTCAGGGCTCAGGAAGTCACGGAGCTTAGAGATTCTAAAACCCCAGACCCTAAGCGTAGTTTGTACGGTTGAAGTCATCGGGTTCGGGTGCCCGGGGGTTTAGGGACAAGTCTTAGATTTGTTTAAGGCCCTAACTAATTTTATGCGATGCTGATTCTTGCTTTTCGTCTGGTCTTTGTTTAGACCGCAGCTCCAGCAGCGTCTATGGACTAGCCCCGCCCCAATTCCAGGTGCTTCAGTGTAGCACGTGCTTAGCTCCAGAGAAATCGAAGCCAGCTCACTGGAGTTTCGTGGCCAAAGCTTATGTTGAACCCTTGATAATCCTACATCGCAAATCATGCAAATCCATATCACCGTAAAGTTTATGAAGCCGTAATTAATGCTTTCGACCGTCTATGGATTAGGTTTGGGGTAAATATGGGGTTTACGTCACAGTAGAGACAACGAGGTTCGTGTAGAAAGCCACATGTGCCTGTCTGGAAAGGGGCTGCCTGCTGCTTACATCGCATGTAGAACGGTTGCAACACTCTGCTACTATACTGAACTTAGAACCCTAGCAAAAATTATAATTTTTGCTGTTTCTTAGGGATTATAATAACCAAAGATTAAAATTTATTTCTAAGTACCCCTAAGGCTAAGGTACATATGTTTGCTTCGAGCACAAGCGCAACGCCCCAGGCCCCAGACCTCAACAATCAACCACTGATCCCCAAACATCCCCAGACCCTACTTAAAGGATCATGGGACTTAGTAAGGTTATAAGTAGGTTATAATTAGGATAACCCCACTTAGGGGACTTATAACCCCAGTTATAACCTGCTTACTAAGTCCCATGATCCTCTAAGTAGTCAACATCCTGCACTACAGATCCAAGACCCCGGCCCACTTGATGTGCTTGCCCATGCCGACGACTGTCAGGGACTCGCCAGCAGTGCCAGCCTGCACATCTGTGGGGTTTAGGGTTTAGGGAATCCGGGTCCCCCACTGCAGTCTTTGCTATGGCAAAACGGCACTGACAAGTTCATACATTTGGGCATGGAAGGGAGTCTAGAAGCACGCCCCTTGACAAGCGGCTCAGGTTCTAAGCCACAACGCGTAAACAACATGTACTTTGGAACTTTTTGGAAACCCTAAGCCCCTAAGCCTCAAACCCCTAAACCGTGGCTCTTGGGCTTTATCGAGGCCTAGATGGCTGGGGAGCGTGCGGACTGGGTACGGTCTTTTCTTGGCCGTGCCGATTACAAAACCCTCTGCTACCCAGATCCCCGGGAGGATCTGGAAAGTAGATCCCCTGATTTGGATGCTACTAAGGGTACTGTATAGGAACCCCCATTAAGGGATCTACTTTTTGGATCCTCGGGGGCCTGGGTATGCCCACTTGCTGAGTGGAAACTGGGCTACATCGGCTACATCTTGTATGTGGTTTATCATCCTGTATTTCTTTAGGGTTTAGGGTTTTTGGGGGCTTTCGGGGTTTATCATTGATCATCTTGCGGAGTCCAGATTTCTGGTCCAGCTAGACGAACTTTAACTAGATCCTGACTCGAGGCCTCCAGCCAGAGCAATGCACACACACACACACACACACGCACACATGTGAGCGTGTGTGTGTGTATACACTTACAATATATCAGTTATATATACACACATGTATTTATCGACGTATTTGTTTACGTATTGCTTGGGTGTAGGGCCCACTACGGTCTCTCGTCAGCCCGAACCAAAAGTTAAGCCTCAATCTTACATTAGCAGCATCAGCAGTAAGGTACACCTTAGGAATGGGGACACCCGCACATCGGTGAGAGGCTTGAAAGCCTCAAAGCACGCTTTTTGTCACAGATGCTGGGAGGAAGGGTAGCCCTAAACGGTGAGGACTTGAAACTCTTAACTTGAATTCCTCAACTCTAGGCCCGACACCAAAGAAATCTAACATTCCCTAAGGGTCCATGTACTCATATAGTGGATACATTGGCCTTAATGTAGTCCCTATATAGGTACTTTGGGGACCATGTATCTCTATATGGGTACATGGACCCTTTGGGATTACAACCTGAACCTTGAAGCCTGAAGTCTAAAGCAACAACCCTTAACGCTGGCTCAAGCAATCAGTATGAATGGTTGTCGTCCCTTCTTTGGGACCCTATTATAATACGGCACCTAATATTTAGGGTACCCAAAAAGGGACCCTAATTTTGACCTTTGTCCTTTTAGAAATAACAGACAGAGCCCTATACCTATATCCCTGGGTAGGAATTATTTAAGAAGGTCTACTAGCCGGTCTCTTTATTCTTTTGGGGGAACCTTGAAAAAGGACAAGGCTGAAACTCACCCTAAACCCTAAAGCCCTAAACCCTAAACCCTAACCCCTAAACCCTAAACCCCTAAACCCTAAACCCCTAAACCCAAGGCTGATTTTGACAACTACCCGTATAAGTGTCAGGATCCCAAAGCGAAGCCGGGAGACAACCGGTGCTAGCAGCTTGGCGCCGGAGAGCATCTCTTTCTCCTTTGGGGGGCTTAAGGTTTAGAGCTTCTAGGGTTTAGGGGTTAGGGTTTAGGGTTTAGGGTTTAGGGTTTCAAATAGGTAGACCCTAAACCCTTAAACCCTAAGGGTTTGAGGATTAGGGATCGGATTATTGCTCCCTAAACCCTTAACCTGGAGCTACGGATCTTCGAGATTCTTCACGAGACTCCCAGGTGAGCCAAACTGCGCCCTACATCTACATGGGTGGTTGTCAAACTTAGGGTCCCTTGTTGGGTCCCTATTATAGTACGGCGCCTATTATTTAGGGTACCCAAAAAGGGGCCATGATTTTCACAACTACCCACATAATACCGCCTAGCTTGCACCCAGGCCACGAGGTGTAGGGTCACTTATGCTGCATTGGGGATACCTCATTCTAACTGCTTGTACTGAGTATCTATCCTTATGGGAGTTTCCGAAAACAAGGTACCCTACTATAGTACCCTAAATAATAAGATTCTTATTCTAAGCACCCCAAAAAAGGTACCCCCCTAATTTTCGGAAACTCCCTTATCAGTCTTATGGAGCTGACGCTACGACTCGATGCCATGTCTCTATTCGCTGCTTGGCCCCAGCCGCTTCTGCTCAGGAAAAGCGTCCGTTGGTGGCTTTGAGTTTTCGGGATTTCTGGACTTGAGGTTAAGTTCTGGGATATGGCTATAGTACTTCATTACGGATGTATGCTTTGGAAACTATGCAATGCACATTTTCAAGGCCCCTATACTAAACCCTATCTTAAAACAACAACTTCAAATGAATTCTAGCGATTAAGGGCCCCATTTTGAGGTTCAGTGGGCCTTCTCCTGCCCTGAACCTTCAACCCTTATAAACTCCGGCTCACTGTCCTTCTCTTGGAAGGCTTGATACATCTCCATCTCCACTGAAGTGATCGTGGCCTCCTGTCAGTATCGCTTCGGGTTTACGTCTATTTGGGGTTTAGATTTATAAGGGTTTGGGTTTAGGTTTAACGGTCAGGGCTTATATAGGGTTTAGGTCTAAGCTTTAGGATTTATGGGGTTCAGGGTTAGGGCTTCGGGCCTATATGGTTTAGACGTTGAGGGTCCGGGCTCGAGGGCTACTTTTCAAATAAAGCTTACACAGGATCTCACAAAGAGGCTCTGTCTCAAAGCGTCCAAGTAATGGGTATGGTATATACTTTTGGGGCCCAAATACATATTATACTGGTACTTGGACCCTTTGGATTTGGAGAGTCAATGTTTTGTAGGCATTGGAGGGGGGGCTTGATGCTTTTTGTCCTTCGTGGGCCGAGGCTGTCATCGCAGATGCATCGGAGCTTCATGTCTCCTCGCCCATAGGCTCCGTAGTAGTTCCTTTTTGGGTTTACCTTATGAGATCCTAAATATAAACCACACAAGGAACTACCATGGAGCCTCTAGGCACAGAGCATGATATTCATCTTCTTCTGCTCAAGTCCGCATCGGGAGCTCTTCGAATTTCGGGCTGCGTGCCGGGTAGGGCCGCTATGCTTCAAGTGCAGCTTCAAAAGAAACCCTTTAAACCCTAAACCCCTAAGCCCTCAACCCTAAACCTTAAACCGTAAACCTACAGCACCCTCCCAGCCTTCCTAGCCTCTGGCAAGCCACTAAACTCTGCCCACTAGACCTGTAAATGCAAGAATACCCAAAATGCCGAAGCTCGTATATTACAACACCTGGAAACCCCAAAACCCCTAAAGACCCACAATACAACGAATATCAGCAGCTGCTTGATCTCCCTGTGCTGAGGGTTTCCGGGTTGGGTCTTGCAAAAATTAATATACAGCAAGGACGCAGGCAGGTGTTCGAGTCAAAACAACAAACACACACACAGACACACATACAACATGTGGACATGTGCTTGCCTCAGATGGGGGCATCTGAGGCTGATACCCCGAGCAGCTTACACTGCCTAGACCCCTGAAGGATCTCACAAGTAGATCCCCTGATTTGGACCCTATACTTGCAAACCCTAAACCCTATACTCCCATACCCCAAGAATTCAACTTTTCTGGAAACCTCCCTTAAAAGATCCACATTCCGGATCCTCCCACGGATCTCCTAAGGTCTGGTTATTATATGGGTACAGGCACCCTCAAGCCCTAAACTCTGAACAGGGAGGCTTTGAAAAGGCCTTCTCGGCGAACAGGCCGCCATAGAGACCCAACCTCGACCCGAGATTTCGGTGCTTTGGGTTTGAAGGGTTGCAATTAAGGTGATAAAAGTTGTAGGCTTTTTGGGGTTAACGGATTTAGGGATAAGGGGTTATAGTCAGAAGTCGTATATGGGCTTTAGTCTTTAGGGTCTGCGGGTCCAGGTACTCGTGTGGTGTATACTTGGACTTTGAAACCGTCCCTATACAAGTACCTTGACTTGGGGTCAAAGTGTATACTAGTTGGGCACATGGACCCTTAGGGGTACTTAAAGGATCATTGGACTTAGTAACTAGGGTTACTATTAGGGTAACTATACTTATAAAACCAATTATGGTACTTATAACCTTACTTACTAAGTCCCATGATCCTCCAAGTAGCTCCATGCCCTGACCTTTCAAGAAGCTTCTACGCCCGGAAACTGAGTAAGCCGAAGTACCTCAACCTCACCTGGGTAACCTTGAATCCCTGGTTTCCTGGATCGCGAAAGCAAAGCCCCTGAAACCCAACATCTCAGAAATGTGCAGCCCTACAGCCCACCACCCCCCCACAACCCAGAGGTAAGTACAGGCCCGACCTCTGATGCAAAAACTTTGAGCCCTGTGATCCCCGGACACTTTCACCCCAAAGCCAATTTATCCCCCTAAAGAGAACTCCAGAAAGTTGGAATATGGTTTCAGGGTAGGATACCCTATAATTTACCACAAAGGGTTTAGGATAATCATATTCCAACTTTCTGGCTTTTACTTTAGACCCTACAGCCTCTTTGCCCCTAAACCCTCTAGCCCGAAAGCGAATAAACCATCTTAGCGCAATGGCTCCGAAACCCTGTATCTTTTGAACCCCAAGGCCCTATATCAACCCCGCACATATAGGAACCCTTGAAGGAACCCTTAACTGAGACGTGAAACACTGTTAGAAACCTTTTGGGCAACCTTATAGAGACCTTGGAGAAGCCGATGCAGAGCCCAACAAACCCCTAACCCCAAAACCCTAACCGCTAAACCCTAACCCCTAAACCCACCCCTGAACCGGAAACCCGAACCCCTAACCCTAACCCCAAACCCCAAACCCCAAACCCCACATCCCCTAACCCCAGCACCGTCCGTACACTAAGAAGCTGCAAGGTCACTCATCAGAGCAAAAGATCATCGAGTACGGTACGGTATAGTACGGTACAGTACAGTATATAGTCTAGTCTACTACAATAGTATAGCATAGCTGCCAGGTCACGGATACTCCTGAAGCAGCTTCGGCGCAGCCGGACCGTTGGCAGACAAGGCGGCGCACCTCCGGGTTTGGGTTTAGGTGTTTAGGGCTTGCGTTTAGGGTTTGGGTTTTGCGGTTTAGTTTGGGGGCTTGGGGTTCAGGGTTTTGCAGGGGCTTCTACTGGGCTTAATTACAAGCTCATCGTCGATTAGTTTAGAGCTTCTCATGGCTCCGGCTAGGGCTTCAACGCGTCGGTGTTCAGAGGTTTAATTAAGGACTTACTTATGATAAGGTTAACGATTTTCCACAGGGTCCAAGTATCACGGCTAGGGCTTCACCTCGTCGGTGTTCAGAGGTTTAATTTAGGACTTACTTATGATAGGTTTAACGATTTCCCACAGGGTCCAAGTACCACCTTTGTATGTACTTAGTAATAGTAGGTATTTGGGCCCCCAAAGTATATACTATACTCGTTCAGGCAGTTGTTGAGGGGTCCTCGAACTCGACCTTAGCCTAAAACTGATGCCTTTCGCCCTCTTTCGGGGTCCTACCGAAAATTGAGCCTGGCGCATGGCAACATAGGGTGCCATGCCGATACACGATTTGTGCTTGGAGGTTCATGGGTAGTCACAAGTGCGCGTATAAGTAGGACAGCTTTATTTGCAACCCATACTAGGGAACTTTAAACCCCACACACAACTACCCTAAACCCTGAACATTAAATCCTATAGAACCCTTAGAGGAACCCCACTTGTAACCCTACTTACAACTACCCATGAACCTCCAAGTAAATGGGGCTTATAAGGTGCACATTGAGCCGCCTAGGACTCTTCGACTGAAATCTGCGGGTTGAGACGCTGACCCTAGCAGCCCATGTCCATCTACCCAAAGCACCCGCAAACGGACTGCCGTAAGACCATTTAAAGTATGTACTACGTATACATACACACTATATATATATATACACATATGTGTATGTATATATATATATATATATGTATACACTCTTTGTATATTATATATATATATGTATATATATAGAGAGAGAGAGAGAAAGTATAGAAGCACATGGACCTTTGGGGTGATATGATCGATCAAAGTTGAAGGTTTAGGGCTTAAAGGGGTTCTGGCACATCCTACGGACAATGTATCTGCGGGGGATACTTCAGCGAATGATTTGTTACGTAGTATATCAAAAGGTTGAGAACAAATCTCCAGACAGACAGGTCGACCGGTCAAGATAGACTGGGCGAATGTGGCGGATAGACTGCCAGGCCAAGGGATCATGTACGTATGTGCCTTATACTTTGGCCTTTGAACTATAATTTCAAGACACCTACGTCCTCATACGTTGTACACTACTAGCAGCAACTCTAGCCCTCTGAGGTGCGCGCAAGGCAGTGTGGCCGGAGGCATCTGCGACATTGAGGGTTCCTGCCGCCTTCGTCGCGGAAGCTTTACTCTGTAAACATGTCGGGTTTAGGGTTGAGGAATACCCTGAGAAATCTAAACCCTGACCCGCAAACCCTCATTTGGATGGCTGGGACCATGCGGTTCCGTACATGGGAATCTTTGGTGCTGGAATCCGGCATTTTTCATCATGGCTTGCCCCGCTTGCCGAAGCATACAGCTGGCGCAAGAACGATGGGAACTTTGCGCTCTAGGCACCTACAGACATCTGTTTAAGTTTAAGGCTTACCTGTAGTCGAAAAGACCTACCTTTTTGAGGAACTCTCTCTCTCTCTCTCTCTCTATATATATATATGTATACACATATCAACCATAATAAGGAGCCATGAGAAGGTCATTAGGTCTTTTCGGCTACAGGTAGGGTTTAAGGCTCATTCACCGTGAGCCCTCCTGCAAGACGACTCGGCTTTCCAGGACTACCAAGATGCACAAAGACACATCCGCCGAAGACCGGACCCTAAGGGTCCATGGGTTCTACAGGGGTCCTAGTATATGGGGACCATGAGGCTTTTGGGTACAAGGGTCCATGTACCCAACTAGTACGTACTTTGGCCCCAAAGTGCCTATCTAAACCTGTATCAATATCTATATCTAGTCTATACCTGTATATCTATTTACATAGAAACATATAGATATAATACGTTATGTTGAGTTATAACTATGTATCTAAGGACTACTTTAAGGCCGAAGAAAAAACTATTTTGGCAGACGGGCCCTTTGGGGAAACCCTCATGAACCGGCCCCCACCTTGGCGGCCGTAAGAGCTGCCTGGAAAGCCACAGCACGGGGATCCTTGCCACCTCGTGGGGTCTTAGCGGGTTAGGTTAGAAGCTGTCCCCACCCTGTAATAGTGACTATAAGGATTATATTAGGGCCCTACTATATTCCTATTATACCACTATTACAGGGTGGGGGCCCCTTTCCACCTCGTGTGGTCTTAGCGGTTTAGGGGGTTAGGGTTTACCTTAAAATCCCAAACCCCACTTCTTTGTGGGTTCTTATTATAACCTTTTGTAGGGTCCCTATAAATTCCATATTAGGGTTAAACCCTAATATGGAATTTATAGGGACCCTACAAAAAGGTAGGTTTTGGTAGCTTAAGGTAGGGGTTAAGGGGTTTGGGGGTTTAGGGGCTTAGGCTTGTAGGGAGAGGCTTCGGGTTTAGTGTTTAGGGGTTCAGAGGTTTAGGGTTCAAGGGTTTAGGGATATGGGGGTTTAGGGTTTAGGGGGGTGCCCCAAAAACGAAACTATGTCGGTGTACATAAGGGTTCAGAGGTATGCGGCATGTCTACGCCAGCAAGATCGATAGATCTTCTGACTTTACGGCTTACGTTGCTTCGGAACCAGAGACTCGGAAAAATCCTTCCAGTCCAGAATTTGCGCTCAGCTTCAGCGGGTTAAGCTTACAGGTCTAGGCTTTCCGTCATGGCTCTTGTGTGGAACATCCATCAAGTGGGAATAATTGGGATTCGAATCGGTTCACCGACAGCTGACTAGTCGAACGGATTGGCATAACCGGTTGAAGTCACCGTGCGGATCTAGTTTCAGGCGTGCACCAAAAAAACCCAAACCGAAAGCCTTCATCCAAAGTTGTTATCCGGCCAGCCTCAAAACAGCCAGCACTGCGCTTCCCGAAACTCTCACATAAAAACCTTAAACGCTCAACCCTAAATCCTGAACCCGGAAACCTACGGTGTCTGGCACAATGCAACCAGCCTTCGCGAAGGCTTCCTGACCAGTTGCTCGGGCCGCCTGCCCAGAGCAGATCCAGAGCGTCAAGGTTTAAGGTTTAGGGTTCAGGGGTTTATATGGGAGTTTCCGGAAATGGGGGACCCTAACATGGTACCCTAATTAGTAGGATGCTTATTATGAGGACCCCAAATAAGGTGCCCCTAATTTTCGGAAACTCCCATATAAAGCTTTTGCTGTATGCTTTGAACGTCATGCTCTGGGTTTAGGAGTTGAGGGTAAAGCTTTTGGTGCGAGGTTTGGGGTTTGGGGTGTAGGCTTATTTGGGTTAATATAAAGGTTTCAGGTGCTCCTCGACGGTGCCTTCTAACACGGTTACTATGAGGGTGAAGGGCTTAGCTTTCAGATGCTATCAGGGTTGCGCTTAGGCTTCAAGGATAGAGGCTGACGACATGAGGTTGCATGGGTTGGGGTATAAGTCTCACTGAGAAGCACTTTCGAATCTTGAATTCGAGCTTCGGGGTGTCGACCAACTACGGGGAAAGGTTCCACAACACTGGTTCTGGGGCATGCGGGGATGGCGTCTTCCGGACACTAGGGATGTATGTCCTGGATGTTTGTTCAGGTGTTTTGGTAGGAGCTGCGGAACACAGAAGCACAGTGGGACAATAAACACTCACGAGAGCAGTTTGCAACTAGTTTTGCATGTTGGGTTAAGGAAGTGAAAACCACATGCACATGCTCAACACTTAAAGAACCCCGGATGGACCAAAACCCTCAACCCTATACCCTACAAACATAAATACCTAACGTGCGTAGTTCAGCTCTGCCTGCAGTGGCAAGGTGCAGGGCAGTACGCCCGTCAAACCTTGGGAGGAGAGAACTAAAGTAGTCCTTATATGTACTTTGTGGCCCAAGTGTATACTGCTTGGCAACTTGGGCACATGGACCCGTAGGGACGATATCTATGGCTGACAAGACCGAGCAGCGTTTTAGGGTTCAGGGATTTGACTACCAGAGACGCGGGAAGGGCGTAGTACTTGCAATTGAAGCAGAGTTTAGGACTCATAGGCCAGCTCCCAAAACGACACACTACTCTGTGTACTCTGTGCAATTAATAAACGTTTTTCTTGCGCCATTTGGTATTTCTTTGGCATGCCTTGGAAATCGAAACGATTACACGATTACAAATACCACTGATCGCCAAGATAGTCGGACAAAACCGTCACCAGGAATCACTAGTAGTATTGCTAGCTGGTAGTACAAGTTCGGGTAGTACTGGCAGATCAGAAGTACTGAATCAATTGCTGCTCCTCCTTCTCCTCCTCCTGCTGCTGCAGCTACTGCTACTCCCACCCACTCCACTCCTACGGGCTGCTGCTGCTACTACTCCAACTCCTACTCCTACTCCTACTCCTACGCCTACGCCTACGCCTACTACTACTACTACTACTACTACTACTACTACTACTACTACTACTACTACTACTACTATTACTATTACTATTACTATTACTACTACTACTACTACTACTACTACTACTACTACTACTACTACTACTACTACTACTACTACTACTACTACTACTACTACTACTACTACTACTACTACTACTACTACTACTACTACTACTACTACTACTACTACTACTACTACTACTACTACTACTACTACTACTACTACTACGACTACAACTGCTACGACTGCTACGACTACGACGACGAGTATGACTACGACTACAGTTGCACTTCTACGAACGGACGACCACGCTACTACTGCAACTGACCACATGTCTCAAACCCTGGACTCCGATCCCTCATCCCTGTACGCAAAGCCTTGATGCAGACAACTGCCGTACTATCCGCCCTACTCTATAATGAACTTACAACCCTAGCAAAAATCATACTTTTAGCTGTTTCTTAGGGCTTATAATAACCAAAAACTAGCAAACAAATCCTAGTACCCCTAAGTACTTACCAAGTTCCGAAACTACCAGCCCGGAATCCTCAACCCTAGCCATCAAGCCCAAAACCCTGAACCCCGAGTCCCCAAAAACCCCCAATATAGGAACCTGATTAAGAAAAAATGGGCCTATAACCCCAAAAGAGTAGGATGTATAGAAGGGGCCCGAATATGGGCCCAAGGTTTCTGAATCAGGTTCCTACATCACATCTCAACCTTTCTTGACGACCCAGAGCCTCCAAAACCCCTTAATTAAGGAATATACCTTAAATTATAATAGGATCCCTATTATGATTTTAAAGTATATTCCTTAATTAAGGGGTTTTGGAGGCTCTGGGGAACTCCAGCCTTGCTGGACCGGACAGGGGGCTGGCGGACGGCTGCAGCGCCAGGTGAGGCAAGACGTGCAACGACATCCTGAGGGTCTAAGGCTCCTTGAAGGGATTCTGTAAGGGCTCCTTTAAAGGGGAAACCCTTATAGTAGGAGGTTGGGGATTTTTGGGGATTCTGTAAGGGCTCCTTTAAAGGGGAAACCCTTATAGTAGGAGGTTGGGGATAAGGGTCTAGGGTTTCGGATGGTTTAGGGTTCCCTCAGACGTCGCGAGGGCTTTAGAGAAAAGGGGCCAGGGTTGGGCTTGAGTTGTATGATGATACCCCAAGGGTCCGACGTACCTAATAATCATATACTCTCCAAAGTCCTGACCTACGTAACTACCATCCGAAAACCGACTGCCTAATTACTGGGTCCTTTGGACCCTTGAAAAAATAGGATTTAGGATTTAGAACTACTCTGATCGGATGTAGAGTTTATAGAAAAACCATGGTCGCATGTAGGATATAGGATTAGTAGGTCTTAAGTGGAGTGTAGGGCTCAGGGTAGAGGATGGATCAGACACGGGTGTCATTTTAGAAATAATAGATAGAGCCCTATACCTATATCCCTTAGTAGGAACTATTTGAAAAAGGTCTACTAGCCGGTCTGTTTATTCTTTTGGGGGAACCATGACTAGGTGGGGCTTTTAAAGCCTTTGCAAAATATTAGTAAATAAGATCCTCTTAAGCCCAATAAGGGAAAATATAAAATGTCCCAAAGCCCTACCTAGATGAAAAGGGACAAGGCTGAGCTCAGATGTTTGGGGCCTTCGGAAGATCGGGAGCCCTCAGCGTTTGTCCCAAAGAGTAACGCCCTATGGTTCAGGGTTTAGGGTCCTGAGGTTTAGGGTTTAGGGTCCTAAGGTTTAGGGTTTAGGGGTTTATGGTTTAGGGGCTTAGGGTTTAGGGTTGGGTCCATGTACCCAAATAGTATATACCCTGCCCAAGGAACTGAAATAGGATCTACTTTGGGGCCAAAGTATATACTATTTGGGCACATGGACCCTTGGGGGCAGATATCTTGGGCCCACGTACCGACATAGTGACTACTTTAAGGTCGAAGTCTATGTACTGTTTGGGCACATGAACGCATAGGGCTTCTAAGACTTTGCCAAAAGTAGTCAGTTTGCAAAATCATGCTAAAGAGTGCGTCAGAATATCCAAGGCGAACCTCCCTGGAACAAGCGTAATGTACGGGCCTTAATTGTTAGAATAGGGCTTTGGGTATCCTGTAGTATAGATACAACAAGGAACCCTAAAGAAGTGTATTGTTAAATATTCAGGCCCCTCATAAAGTGAAATTTTCGAGTTGGGGGAGCTGTAGTACCTCAGGAGGAACATCATATTTTAGGGGCCTAAATAATTACCAATACATGTTGGGGGGTTCCTTATTATATATGATTATTGTATTATAATAATCCCGCCAAGCCCTATTCTCATGTTTAAGGCCCCTACAGTAGCTTTTTGGACAGCCAACCCTGAGATGAAAAGCAGAAACAACACACAGAAGCTCGGTCAAAGGACTCATTTTTAGGAACCCTCAACCCCAAACACCAACGGAGCCCCCAGACGGGCGAAGGAAGGATGAGAAGCTAAGTTCTATACAGTCTAGGGCTAGGGCTTGGGGTGACCACCGCATCCCCCCTGAACTGTGGAGTGTAACCTCAGAACCGTCCCCAACATGGACTTCGGCGCCCAACCCTATCAACATGGATAGGGTTTGATGGAGTTTAGGTTTGAGGCTTTTCGGGAGGCATGCAACCCTTAAACCCTAACCCCCAAAGCCAAAACCCGAAACCCTAACCCCCAAACCCTAACCCCCGAAACCCAAAACCCTAACCCCCAAAACCCAAAACCCTAACCCCCAAAACCACAGAACACTAAACCCTCCAGCCTCGGAGAGAGGGGCACCCCTTTGCTGGACGGCGAGGGCCAGCGGAGTAAAGCCGAAGAGCGTGGAACTTTTCAAGGCTTCCTGTGCGAGCTTCCCCAAAGGCTCCATGTACCTTTATAATGCCCTAAGGGTCCATGTACTCATATAGTATATACATTATGACATTGGCCGTGATGTAGTCCCTATATAGGTACACTTGGGGCCCATGTATCTCTGTATGGGTACATGGACCTTTAGGGGTAGATACTTCAGCCTTAGAGGGGTTCCTATATAGGTACGTTAAAGCCCAAGTATATACCATATGGGTACATGGAGCCTTAGAGTTCTTCAAACAGGGAGCAGGGGCGTGTGTACGTAGGAATTAGGAGTTTCAAGTTTCTTTTGCATAGGGCTCCATCGAGGTTTAGATAGAATATTTTGAAGGACGTCGAAGGCTTTCTTGTTTGTGACTGGCATTTCGCTCTGCATCGCGTGGCTAACATGCTGAGCTTCTCGACTGCTCTGCGAACATCTCCTACTTGGAGCCTATGCTGCGAGAAGCCACTCCATACCTAGACTCCCGATATATCTCGTCAATACCTAAATAAAATGCCGACTATCAAAGATTCTGCGAGGTCGCCTGGTAACGCCCTCAAAACTCTGCGTGATGGCTCGGATCCTACATGTATATTACACCTTGTGTGCGGCCCCGCCTCACTAATAGTGGGCAGAAACAGAAGCACAAGATGAAGCACCAGGGAAATGCTGAAATGTTGACTCGTTTGTGATCATGCTCGCATGAATGGAAAACGCAAGACTGAGACAACAAGTAAACTGCCACCCCATGAGTTGCAAACACAGTCACACCCCTGTTCTTTTCTCGGATTCGATCTTGAGCAAACATCAGGAGCTGCAATGCCTCTGCGCGACTAGGGGGGGCGGGGCGGGGGGGCTGGGGGTGCTGGGGGGGGCTGAGGGGGCTGGGCTGGAAAGCTGAACGGACGGGGGGGTGGGGGGCGGGCTGAGGCCGGGCCGGGGTCTGGCCTCTTCGACCAAGTTTAGTACTGAGAGGCGTACCCGGGCGCGACATTTCGATCACAGAAACCTCTTTTCTGTTGTGCTTTTCTTGTGCTCGAAACGATCCGATTGTGCTTTTTTTTTGTGCTTTTCTTGTGCTCCAAAAACCAAACGTGTTTGTATGTTTGTGCTTTTTTTTTGTGCTTTTCTTGTGCTCGAAACGCTCCGGCTGTTGTGCTTTTCTTGTGCTCGAAACGCTCCGATTGTGCTTTTTTTTTGTGCTTTTCTTGTGCTCCAAAAACCAAACGTGTTTGTATGTTTGTGCTTTTTTTTTGTGCTTTTCTTGTGCTCGAAACGCTCCGGCTGTTGTGCTTTTCTTGTGCTCGAAACGATCCGATTGTGCTTTTTTTTTGTGCTTTTCTTGTGCTCCAAAAACCAAACGTGTGTGTATGTTTGTGCCTTTTTTTTGTGCTTTTCTTGTGCTCGAAACGCTCCGGCTGTTGTGCTTTTCTTGTGCTCGAAACGATCCGATTGTGTTTTTTTTTGTGCTTTTCTTGTGCTCCAAAAACCAAACGTGTTTGTATGTTTGTGCACTTTTTTTGTGCTTTTCTTGTGCTCGAAACGCTCCGGCTGTTGTGCTTTTCTTGTGCTCTGTCTGTACTCTTTCTGCAATCTAGGCAGGCCTCCGGGCTCGTTTCCGCAAACGTGTTTGCATGTTTGTGCTTTTTTTTTGTGCTTTTCTTGTGCTCGAAACGCTCCGATTGTGCTTTTTTGTTGTGCTTTTCTTGTGCTCCGAAAACCAAATGTGTTTGTATGTTTGTGCTTTTTTTTTGTGCTTTTCTTGTGCTTGAAACGCTCCGGCTGTTGTGCTTTTCTTGTGCTCGAAACGCTCCGATTGTGTTTTTTTTTTGTGCTTTTCTTGTGCTCCAAAAACCAAACGTGTTTGTATGGTTGTGCTTTTTGTTTGTGCTTTTCTTGTGCTCGAAACGCTCGGCTGTTGTGCTTTTCTTGTGCTCGAAACGATCCGATTGTGCTTTTTTTTTGTGCTTTTCTTGTGCTCCAAAAACCAAACGTGTTTGTATGTTTGTGCTTTTTTTTTGTGCTTTTCTTGTGCTCGAAACGCTCCGGCTGTTGTGCTTTTCTTGTGCTCGAAACGATCCGATTGTGCTTTTTTTTTGTGCTTTTCTTGTGCTCCAAAAACCAAACGTGTTTGTATGTTTGTGCTTTTTTTTTGTGCTCCATGATTTCAAAACACATTGGCGCGCGGCAGTTCTGGTGCAAAATTGTCTCTGTCTGTTGTGCTTTTCTTGTGCTCGACGCGGTCCGATTGTGCTTTTTTTGTGCTTTTCTTGCTAGTTTTGCTCTGTCTCTCTGGCGGCCGGGCCAGTCCAGTCCCCGCGTCCAGGCCGTCTGAAAGAAGGTCTCCGGGCCCAGGTTGCGATGGTAACGAAACCGTGGTTCCAAACCTCTTCGCTGGTAAGTTGCAGATAGCTCCTCCCAACCTCTTCGCCGGTCCGACCCCATCTCACAGCCCTAATCGCCAAACTATGCCAAACATATTTGGATTCAAAACACTGCCTGGCCCTGGAAAACCGAATGAGATCAGATTTCCTTGTGCTACTTTTGGCCTGTCTGTTTGATAATAAACCTATTTTTGAACTATTAGTGGGCCGGGGCCCCATCTAAATTACACCCAAAGAAGGACCAATAACCCTGGACTCTGGACCCTCAACCCTGCACCCCAAACCCTAACCCTAAACCCTTCCAGCCCCAGACCCCTAAGCTCTAAACCTCAAACGCCAAGCCCCTAAACTCTAAACCCACAAAGCCAAAACTCCAAACCCCTAAACCCCACTACATTACAAGGTCGCGGTAGCCCGCCTCCAGATTGCCTCTCTTCGCCAGCCTAAAAGGGTCAATCCATAGGTTCAGGGTTCGGGGTTTTGACGGCTTAGGGGTTTGGGGGTTGAGGGTTCAGGGTTCAGAGTTCAGGGGTTTGGAATTTTGGGATTCGGGTTTGGGTCTCAGAGTTGCGGCTTTAGGGTTTTAGGATTTAAGGCTTTCAGGGTTTCCGGATATGATATAGGGGCCTGAATCCTTGCAACAGGGCTTGGGAGTATTGTCGTGTGATTCATGCTCGGGGTACCTGAGAAAACACTGTTGGCATTTATTTTCATAGATCTCCGATCTGAAGTGAACCTCCGAAACACAGTAAACCCTCAAACCCGACAGCCCTGAACTTTAGGGTTCTTGTAGGGCTCCTTTTCCCATGATGGTTCTGAAAAACGTTCCTAAACAGGTTACCCAGACACTCGAATGTCCCTTAATTAAGGAATATACCATAAGTTATAGTGGGATCCCGAATATGGTTTAAGGTATATTCCATAGTTAAGGGATATTGGAGTCTCTGGGTATAAGAGTTCCTAGAAAGGTTTACGGGGCTCTGCGTCCGAAAAACTCCTCCAAGAACCATGCCACGCTCGGTGAGTCACCACTCCTGAGCAGCACACACACACGCGCGCCCACAGACTTGTTACAGACAGGCGGTTTAGGGTTTAGGGTTTCTTTTACACGACCCTTTTCCGGCTTCGCAGGGTTTAGGGTTTAGGGTTGAGGGAGGCGCACCAACAAACAGACATGCATGCCACATCTACACTCATACGCAGGTGCACCTACATGGGCATGGTGCCAAGCTGCTGGATGAGGAACATGAGCGGCGTCGCGAGGCCAACACCAGGATGGTACTTGAAGTAGACTTCCTGAGTTAACCCAACTGCTCGGAACGCAAAACAGAGAGTCAGAGTCTCAACAAAAAGATAAACACACATGTACATACATGTGTGTGTGTATATATATATATGTATGTATGCAGATGTGTGTGTGTGTATGTGAATATGTACATCTTATAATCTCATTGTCTATCTAGCTGGCTAACTGTTATTAATATTACCACTATTACTATCCATGTACATAATATATGTGTGTGTGTATATATATATATATACATATGCAACCTACATCCGCTACTTTCCTACAGAATGAAGCTACATATTGTGTAGCCTCTACTCCAGCGTAAGAGGTAAGGGTTCGCCCTTTAGGTCCAGGTACTGGAAGTACACTTCCTGGGCGTCTTCCGTGCATGACACAACGGAAGTCAGGCTCAGCCCAAGACCTAGCTTCAATTTCAAGGTTCGAACAGGATCTTTTGGGGCACAGTATACCATAACTACAAAAAGAACATTTTGGTGGGTGTTAGTAATTCAGGCTTGTGCATTCAAAAATGAGGCTTTCCTTCAAGCCAAGGGGCCTGCGAGTGGGCGGGTACGCTGCGATCAAGGACATCCTCCGAACGAGCTCGAGGACTTTCGAGTTTTGGCTTAGCACTTAAGTTCAGGTTGTATAGGGGGTTTCGGGTATAGCTGGGTATAGGCTGTTTCCTTACAGAGAACTCCAGAAAGTTGGAATATGGTTTCATGGTAGGATACCCTATAAATTACCATAGAAGGGTTAGGATAATCATATTCCAACTTTCTGGCTTTTACCTTAATTGCTCTGCAAGGAGTCTAGGGTGCAGGGTGCAGGGGTGGGTTTCAGTAGGACGTTGCAGAGCTTGAAGGGAAACACAACCAACACCCAATGGCCTCTGTGCGTGTTTAGCTTACCACTATGGGCTATTAGACCTTATGGGTACCTTAATCTGCCCTTAATAGGGTCCTAATAGGGATCTTTAGGGCCTAATAGCCCATAGTGGTATAGCCATAAATTCTACACAATCTCAAAAGGCGTGAAGAAGCCCAAATCTAATGACACAACTTTCGCTTTCATCTCACACAAGCCATAAGCTGTAACCCTAGACCCCACACCCATTACCGTAGCCTCTAAACCCTCAAACTGCCTTGTGGGGCGGAAACACCGACCAAATCGTGGACGACAGCTTCGGAGGCAGCGTCGGGGGTGTCTTGCTAGCATTCGGCTTCTCGATCTCCTGGGCTGAGGGGCCTACGGTTGATGATATAAATCCTGCATGACCCATAATAAGGAATATACCATAATTCTCATAGTTTAGGGTCCTTAAGGCAATGAAGGATTTATATCATCAACAGTAGGGGTACGGTCTCCGACCAGAGTTCTAAGAAATGGGTTCTGGGTTCTTATCATGGCTGTTGCAACGGAAGGGTTTAAGGTTTTACGATACTTAGTCTCCACAAATCATGAGCGGTCTATAAAGTGCTGACCAGCGCTTCATAAGGGTTTTGTTGAAAACTTAGTTTGAACAACCACATATTTATGCGGGCTCAGGTAGGACTTTGAAAGGGTGTTTCGATGGCTTGAGAAAACACTCAACTTAAGTTGTCATAATAAGGGTATGCAGTACCGCTGAGGTGCTGCTTCTTCGTGTGCTGTACGGCTAGCCGAGAGACCGTGGTCAATAGATAACACTGCTATACACAGTTTCAGCTGAGAGCTCGCGACCTGACCAAACCTGAACAGCAAGACTCAGGCTTTGCAAGGGCCATAAAACAGGACCCCTATCTTTCTAGCACATCTACCACGCACCCCATGCTGACTTCCGGCTTCAACGACATCGAAGACTCTGTGGTTCAGGATTGCGCTACGGTGCAGCTAGAGGAGGTCTCGAAGATCTCAGATAAGGCCTGGGGTTCGGGTCTACGGCGTCAGGTTCCTATGGCTCCTCGAAGGGGAACTCTCACAAACCCCAACCCTAAACCCTAAACCCTAAACCCTAAACCCTAAACCCAAACATCTAAACCTTCTGACCGAACTACCGCAACCCCAAGCCCCACCCCTTCCTAGACAAGCTGATGTACTTGGAGGACCATGGGACTTAGTAAGTGAGCCTATGAGTACCCTAAGTGGGGTTATAAGTATAGTTACACTAATAGTAACCCTAGTTCCTAAGTCCCATGATCCTTGAAATACCCACGTTTAAAGTCTGCATAACCTTTGCTCGGGGGACCTTTTCCATCCGAGCGCAGCCTGCAGCAACCTACACCCTGCAACCCAAATCCTATAAAACCCTTTTGACAAAAAAGGGCATCACCTAGACCCCCCAAAAGTAGGTAAAATAGTGACCCAAAACCCTATAAAAGGCCATTCTTCTACATACTTTTGGGGTCCAGGCACTCCCCAATCTGCACCCTGAACCCTAAACCCGAAGCCCTATACTCCTCGCGCAACCCCGAGCTGCGTTCCAGGGCTTCTCGAGCTCGCCAACCTGCACCAGGAGGTCTGCACCGGCCTCGGGGCGCTTCCAAATGCTTCGGGCTGTTAGCAAACCCAGGGGGTCCATGTACACTACCATTATGGAACTAGGTCCCGAAAACCATAATAAGGATGGTCTTTCGGTATCTAATTCCATAATCGAAGTGTATATGGACCCTCTGGCTAATGTGGGGGCCTTAATAATTAGACTAGGGTTTGGGGGCCCGTTTTAGTGTAACCATAATAAGGAACCCCAAGAATGGGTAATTATTAAGGCCCCGATACTAGCAAATATTTTTACTTCTTCTGGCCTAGAAGGTGGGGATGCATACTGCCGCGACCGTGCTACGCGATGTGTCATGTTTTGGACCATGAGTACAGTCATCACTCTCACCATGCAGTGAGCTTTTTGGCAGGAGCTTTAGCAAGCCTTCAAAGCGCCACCCCTGCCACCAGCGAGCGTCCCCTCCATTCAGACGCTTGGACTACACCGCTGCACCTTTCGGCGGCACCGTTGTAGCTTTCACTGTCAGTGGCAGCGCTTCACCTTTCGACGGCAGCGGTGCACTTCTCGGTGGCACCGCTGCAGTTGTAGCCTTCACTTCGGCTGGTGCTGCTTTGGGTGCAGCCGGCGTCGCCGGCGGCGGGATCGGCGGCATCACATCTGGCAGGCGCGGCATCTCAGCTGGTCGGATAGAATGACCGCTTGCTTAAGAAAGAGCTCACGCTTACTTATCCGCCGCTTCCGATCTGCAAACCCACGAAACTCCAAATAAAAACCTGTCCAGGCTATCCTCCCCTATCCATCCATGCGAAGTCACCTCGGCGAAGCCCAAACTCGTACACTGCCACAAATCAGCTTGAAGCCCGCAACAACGCATCCCGAGCCCCATGTACCAAAGTATGTACTGTTTGAATACATGGACCCTTAGGACCCTGATAGTAGGATAGTGACCCTCTAGGTTCCTGTGTAGCCCCTTCATACTAAGGGCACCCCTTATCCTACTATACTATTCGGTTTCAGAAGGGGGCCCTGAAATACAAAGGGCAACGGGAACCTAGCCATTAATTGAAGCCTAACAGCCCTGAGCTCTGAACAATGAGCCCTGAACCCTACCTGGACCCTAGTAAACCTTTGTTTTAGGGTTCTTGAGTACGGTCTCCTTACATGTAAGCAGCTTGGTTATTTGGGGTTCTTTAGCGTGGCTTCCTTGTATAAGTCCTTTAACAGGTAAGTTTTCTGGGGTTCTTTAGTCTGGTTTCTTTCAATAAGTCCTTGAACAGGTAGGCTATTTGCTTACCTTTGGTTAGTAGGGAATGGAGGAATGGGATACAATTATAACTACTGTTACTACCATTCTTCTATTCCCTACTAACCAAAGGTAAGTTTGGGGTAACCGTGTTGCATCAATACAAGGGGAGGAGGGACCCTTAGTGGGGACCCCTACCCTATAATGGGCTATATAATGGGTACATAAAGGGTATATACCTAGGGGTCCTTATTGAGGAATGAGGATCCTTTAAGCTAAAATAGGAACCTGAATAATGAAAATAGGGTTCCCTTTAAAGGGTTCCGTTTAAAGGAGTCTATAAGGATTACTATAAGAGGTATGAAATCAAGCTGCGACATCCATGATCCACTTCAGGAACTTCTGGAAATCGTTCCGGCCAGCCTGGGGCATCAAGGGTCCTATAAGGGTTTAGGGTCTCGGGGTTTAGGGGTTTAGGGTGTTTTTGAAGGATTTTAGGGGTTTAGGGGGTTTAGGGTCTCGGGGTTTAGGGGTTTAGGGTTTTTATTGAAGCGTGATGACAGATGACTGACGTCTGCCTGTACAGGCACACACGGGTGAGACATAGGAAGTAGCCGCCCCGCACGAACTTACGGTTCAATTGCAAAACCTTCAGCCAGTTCGCCTCGCGAATTTATGGGCTGCTGGCTTCCATGTTTCAGGCTTTGAACTCCAGCATTCTCGTTTCGTCTCGGTCCGCTTGTCGGCCCTTCGTTTGGGCCTTGCAAAGCATGAAGACCAAAAAGGAACCCTAAACCCTAAACCCTGAAACCATAAACCGCGCAAAGACCCCAAAGTCGGTTCAGACATCCTGAAGTCCTGAAGCCCCACGCATCCCTCAGTCAGAAAACAACTCACGAACCAACGAGCTTTCACTTTAAGGAAGCTCTAAAAGCCCAAAAAGTACGCAATGAAAGTATGAAACCCTAAGCTCAAAGAACCCTCAACCCTAACACCCTAAAATCCTAAACCCTCAACCCTAAACCCTAACCCTAAACCCTGACCCAAAGGACCCTAAACCCTAAACCCTGACCCAAAGAACCCTGAACCTTACACCTAAAGCCTACAACTCCATGTTTGAAAAAAAAAAAAAACACGTGCCGGAGACCCAAAGGGTCCAAGTACCATTACGGTGGGTATTTGGGAACCAAATGTATACCCTAAACCCTAAGCCAGATAGAACCACCCCAGATCCCTCTAGATAGAAAGCCTAAACCCCAAACCCCTAAACCCCCAACCCCCCAAACCCCTAAACAGCCAACCCCCCAAACCCCAAACCTCCCAAACCCCTAAACTCCTAAACCTTTAAACCCCCAAACCCCTAAACCCTAAACCCCAAACCCCTAAATCCCCAACCCCCCAAACCCCTAAACCCCAAACCCCCAAACCCCAAACCCCTAAACCCCCAAACCCCAAAACCCTAAACCCCCTTACTTGAACCGTTTGAGTGGCCTCCTCCGTCGCCATGGCAGCTTGGAGCTCAGGCTCCTTGGCAGTGATCGCCTTGGAGATTCAGTGCCGACATGTACATATGTATATATCCACACACATAATGTGTGTATATACAGACATATGTATATACATATAATGTATATCTACATGTGTATGTGTACATATATATATATACATACATATATATGTGTATATATATATGTATATATATGTACGTATGTACGTATGTGTAACTGTATACACACATAAACTGAGAACCATTGGTTTGGGGTAGGGGGGCTTCGAGGGGTCTGCCGGTTTCGAGGTCAGCATCACCCAAAGGTTCCATGCACCTATATAGTTAGTATATGCTTACACAAGAAGCGATCAACGGCTCGGTGCCCCCATGCAATTCTTATGTTATAGGGGCCTTGATGTTCATTACGGAGTATCGTAGTACTTATAATACAGGTAGCTATATAGCAGAAACGAACCCTAACATATAATGTTGGTAAGTCCTTATGTAGGCTCCTATGTTAAAGTCACTCTGCGGTCCTACGAGGTCCTGCAGGAACCACGAGCAACTCCTGGCAGGTCCAAGTTACGTGGCGAATCTGCGACATCGTCGTACTCTGGCCTTGGAATAAGGGCCCAGAGTGGATCATACTACGAACTATTCCGGCCCCTGATTAATGTCAAATCAGAGCTTCTTGAGACCTAGACCCTGCAGGATTTGTTCTTGGGTGTTTCATGAGGCCATGTTGTCCGGAAGGCTCTATCTTCAAATCTGAAACACAAAACCAAGGCCTCTGAAGTAACCTTCTCAAGACCATGCTCAGTGCCCCGAAAAAATGTCAGTTCATCGTGTCAACGCGGCTCAGCTCAAAGTGCTTATAACAGGCCACCAACATCGGTAGGTCGCGATCTTCTACTTGCATCTTCAGAAACCAAACCCTCCTGAAGGACCAGAAGACCCTTAAAAGTAGGGGCCCTATACCCATATACTATGAACCCTTATATGGTATATGAACCTTAAACCCTTTTAGGGTTCATTTCGTCCTTAAGGCTCTCTGAAGTCCAAACATGCGTACAACATGGCCAGACCCCAGCCGATCCTTGACCCAGAGGGTCCAAGTACCATTGTAACCATTGTAGTAGGTACTTAGTAGGTGCGTATATACTATACTATTACTCGGACCCTTTGGGTAAGCCATAAAACCCAAGCATCCCTCCCATGTTCACAAAACCTCAAATTGAGACACGCATGAAGCTAGACAGCCCGAAACCCCAACACAGGAACCCGAAGCCTTGGTGCCTAAAACTGCAAGCCCTAAACTCCAAGACGTTGAACCCGAAATCGCCGTTTTCTTTGATCCACCAGACATATATTCCCAAATCTCAACTATAAACCCTATATGCCCCATAAACCCTCAAGCCCAAACCCTATAAACTTCCTATAACCCCTACACCCTAAACCCCCACAAACCCCTAAAGCCCCTAAAATTGAAACACGTTCCGGGCGTCTCTTGCTGGTGGCATCCTCGAGCTGCTTCTGAAGGTTCCGCATCTCCGCGGCCTCGAAGCTTGGGGATCTATGGGGTTTAGGGATTTGGGATTTAGGGGTTTAGGGTTTAGGGGTTCAGGGTTTAGGGGTTGAGGGTTTAGGGGTTCAGGGGTTTAGGGTTGAGGGGTTTTGGGGTTTAGGGCTTAGGGCCATTTAGGAGGGTTAAGGGCGAACCAGGACCCCCCCTTTTAATAGAGTCCTTATGGCCCTTCATAGTGGGCATTTGGGGGGTTCAGGGCTTTAGGGTAGTAAGTAAGACTAATCATACTAATAAGCGTTAAGAGTAATAATAACTACTAATAGTTTGGGATCTTCAGGACTGCGGACTGAGGTACCGAATAGTAAGAATAGAGTACTATCGGGCGAGAAGAATTAGAATAGAGTGTGGGGGTTGGGGGGGTTGGGAGGGCATATCTTGTTGTGTAGCCCGAACATTGAAGCCGGTGCAAAATACTGATAATTAGCCAGGCTTCTATACTGTACTAGATAACACTGTGCAGGTGTGGTCCACTAAAGTTGCATCTAGTTACATACTAAGCCTGCCTACGCATTGAATGCAGAACTTTCCGCATTGCCCAAAACCCCCAATCCCAAAGGGTCCAAGTACCATTATAGTAGGTACTTAGAGGTGTTTGGGCTCCAAAAGTATCTACTATACTAATACTTGGACCCTTTTGGAATTGCGTCATTAAACTTCGAGAATCTCAAGCTAATTTTTCGAGTATGAAGATGCCTCCCCACACCCAATTCTAAACCCGAAGCCCTAACTCAAGGCCCTAAACCCGAAACCCTAACCCTCAACTTAAACCCTAAACCCAAGGCCCCAAGCCCTAAACCCTATAGATCCCTTTAAAGGACCCCTTATAGATCCCTTCAAGGGAAACCCTTAACCCTAAACTCAACCTAGACCCCCCAACTACCCTCTAATATATCCTAAATACCCACTATTAAGGGCCATAAGGGCTCTATTAAGAGGCACTTGGGGGGTCCTGGAAGGCCGAATCAAAGACCCTGCCTTGGCTTCTCGGGTAGCACGCAGGGCAGCGATGGCCTGAGCAAACGAGGGCTCCCTAAGGTACTTCGGTCAAAGGGGAGAAGGAGGGACCCTTAATGGGGACCCCTACCCTATAATGGGCTATATAATGGGTATACAATAGCTATATCAAGGGTATATACCTAGGGGTCCTTATTAAGGGTCCCTCCTTTTACCCTTGGATTCGGGTTTTAGGGTTTAGGGTCGATGGCCTAGGGCTTCGGCTAGGGGCGTAGGGTTCAGGGTTAGCGTTTAGCCAAAAGGTACTTAGTCACAAAGGTACTTAGGGCTTTTGGGTTCAGGAGTTTAGGGATTCGGTTTAGGGTTTAGGGGAGAGTGTTCAGGGTTTAAGGCCTAGGGTTTAGCCAGAAAGGGTGCGCATGTACCGAAATGGTATGCACTTTGAGTTCTATTGGGGGTACCACATTCTCGCGGCGGCATCGGCGGATGCTGCTGCGCCAGATATCCTCAATATTGTACCACTTGACGATACAAGGCCTGCAGTAATGCGAGTGGTGTCCTCGCTTAAGCCGGGCACATTGCAAGCCACTGGCATTCCCAGAGAGCCCAATACCCCTTAACTAAGCAATATACCTTAAACTATAAGGGGCTTCACATTATGATTTAAGCTATATTCCTTAATTAAGGGGTATCGGGCTCTCTGGGTTGATGCCGCATATCGAACCCATTTTGGCAATGAGGGAAGCGGAAAACAAATCTGGTTCCACAGCGGTAAGTTCTGTGAGCATTGAGTACTAGTATCCCCTTATGGTCCCTGTAAATGGGTTAAGGGTTTAGGGTTGAAGATCCGCTTGTCGTCCCTGTAAGTGGGCTTGGGGTTTCGGATCCCTTATAGTCCCTATAAATAAATGGTATACTATACCATGCCACTCTTGGTGGTTTGCTCAGGATCGATGACTTTTAAAATTTGCACGTCTATTCGTATCAGGGCTTATGCGGGCCCCAATAAACCTGCCATCGATCGTGGGCAGTATTCAGACTTCGTTCAGGTCCGCATGCACCAAATCGGATGTGGCATTCTGGAAGCTGTTAGCGCGTGCACATGTCCACTGTCTGTTTTCAGGCATGTATACATGTATGGTCATGTAAGTGATTAACGTCTGACCTACGGTCGCGGCATGGACATATGTGGCCCGATACCCTATACACTCTCAAACCTTTCCGAGACAACCCTTCTGGATTCCTTGATAAAAAACACTTGCAGAACTTACCAACAGCTCTTATCAACCCAGAGCCCCAAAACGTAAACCCTATTCCACTGGACAACCTTGAATACTTCAAACCCCTAAATCTCGAAAGCCGTCAACTCCTTATGGAACCCTTATGGTCCCCCATGCGGAACCCCCCCACCCTACACCCCCATAGACCCTAAACCCTGAAACCCTAGAAACCAATCACCCTTAAGCGCTACAACAAGGGTTTACAGGGTTGAGGGGCTAAGACAAGACCTGGTCCCTAAAACCCTAAACCCTAAACAAGGCCTGGTTGAAGTGCAAGATGGCCGAGTGGAGCGGGCGAAGGCCGAACTGCTCCATCGTGCCGGCCATGCCCTTGCCAGGTCAGTAGCTGAGTGCTCCCTTTCCGACGACTATGAAAAGTGATATAGGCGCCTTAATAGTTAGAATAAGGTTTCGGGGGTAGATTATACTCCAGATATAGTAATTAAGGAACCCCCAAAGTAGTATAATATGTAATTAATAAGGCCCCTAGAGCACCGCCATTATGTATATGAAGGCCATGCTCTTGTCAATGCTATGTGTATGTAAAAGATGGAAGCGAAACGACTAACCACAAAACCAATCCTACTGCAAGTCATACTTATTGCAACTCGAAGGTAGCTGAGGTTTGATTTTTGGTGAGATGATGCTGTGTATGGCAACGACGATGATGAGGAGGAGGATGTTGTTGATGATCCTGATGACGATGATGGTGCTAATGATGGCGATGAGTCGTTCAGGGCAATAACCATGCTGCAATTAACAACCAGGGGCGAACACGTTACCTGCGGGTCATTCAAGCCTGAATGTAAGCTTCAGAAGGCAGAGAGCCCAACTCCCCACCCTCTAATAAAGGAATCTGCCGCGAATCAAGAAACTTGCCTGTGATCACAAGGGAATTGGGCTCTCTGCGCAGTTCACCATCCTCAAGTTGGTCCGACGGTTGATGATCGAAATCCTGCATCACCTTAAGGACCCTAAACTATGGGAATTATGGTCTATTCCTTATTATGGGTCATGCAGGATTTATATCATAAACCGAAGTACTAGTATTTTATATACTTTGGGGGTCCGAATATCGACTATAAGTATCTACTATAATGGTAGCTGGACCCTTCGGGGTCCCCGAAACCCTAAACCCCTAAATCCTAAGCCCCTAAGACCCTAAGGCCCTATAGACCAGAGACTTTATAATTAAGGAATATACTTTAATTAGAGAAAGGATCCTTAATATGATTTAAGGCATATATTCCATAATTAAGGGATATTAAAGGAGTCTCTGGGATACCACGAAGCCTTCAGAGCATCCGCCGGCACGCACGCGCAAATCGTCTCAAAGATGTCAGCGGCGGACTTCTCCTCCCAGTGCGGGAGAAGGGTTTAGGGTTTAGGGGGTTTAGGGGTCTAGGGGCTTATAAGGCGTAGGGTCTAGGGACTTATAAGGTTTAGGGTTTAGGATTTGTCTTTATGGGTTTAGGGTTTAGGGTTTCTGCAGGGGAGTTTGAGAAACTCAGCATACTGTTTGTTTTGGAAGAGACCTTGCGGAAAGGGCACCAAAACAGGGTATCACAGCAGCGCATTCTAACAAACCTGCGTACCCTCAAACCGAAACTTCTTCAAGCTTGCAGAGCCAGTGTTTGAAGCGGCAAAAGTCCAGGTTCATAAAGTTGAAAATTCACTGCAGGTCTTTGCCCCGACATAGGGGGCTGAGCGATCAGAATACTGTCGGCGTCGGGGCCTTAATCATTAGAATACGGTTTTGGCGCCCGTAAGACTATGATTATAATATGGAACCCCCAAAATAGGTAATTATTAAGGCCGCTAGAGTAGGGGTCTTCACTTCAGAGTTGAGTCTTCAAACCCACAGGGTCCAAGTGCCATTCTAGGAGGTACTTGGTAGGTATATTTGGGCCCCAAAAGGACTTTCTTTGCTATTTGCTTGGGGACTCTTCCCGCAATCTCGATGCCCAACACAACCCTACGGTTGATGACATAAATCCTGCATGACCCATACATAAAAAGGAATGTACCATAATTCCAATAGTTTAGGGTCCTTAAGGTAATGCAGGATTTATATCATCAACCGTAGGAGTCGAACCCCCTGATTATCAAGCCGAGAACAAATCTTTGCAGGACACTGCCCTACGTGCCCAAACAGTCCCCCGCACCTCCTTGCCATTCCATGCAGCCATCCGAATCAACCTGTCAATCTGGGGCTTAGGGTATGGGGGCTGGGGATTGGGGGTTTGGCGGTTCAAGCTTTCGGCGTTTAGGGCCTTTCAGTTTAGGGTATCGGGTTGAGGTTCTGAGCTTACGGCATCTTGTGGCTTAGGGATCTGACCTGTTCTAGCTGTCGCGCTCAACAGTTCTCAAGACTGAAGTTGGAGTTCTATATTACACAACAAGGGAAGCCAACAATCATCCCGAATCGATACCTAGTGTTTTGATGAGGCCTCGAACCTGTACCCAACGGCTTCCCAGAGACTCCAATATCCCTTATATAATTAAGGAATATTCCTTAAATTATTGTAGGATCCCTATTATGATTTAAGGAATATTCCTTAATTAATAAGGGATATTGGAGTCTCTGGGTTAGACGGTGGTGACGTCGTTGATTCGGGCTTTGCAGGTCAAGGGCTCTGAACCCTTCATGTTCACCCAAGCCCCATTTTAGGTGGCTGGGACTTGGGTATAGAGACTGCAAGCTTTCGGTCGAGCACGTCAAACAGAAAGGGCACAAAGCTTCAATCTGCAAGAACACGGAAGACAACAGGAAGCCCAAGCCCTATGTGGCCTATAACCTGAACCTGCAAAGCCCTCACCATACCTGAAGGACCAAATGACCCTTAAAAGTAAGGGCCCTATACCCATATACTACTGTTGATGATATAAATCCTGCATTACTTTAAGGACCCTAAACTATGGGAATTATGGTATATTCCGTATTATGGGTAATGCAGGATTTATATCATCAACCGTATGAACCCTATATGGTATATGAACCCTAAAACCTTTTAAGGTTCATTTCGTCCTTAAGGTAGACTTTGGCAATAAAACTTCAGGGCTTCCACGATGCAAAAGACAAGGTCAAGAGAAAGTTACCCTAAGGGTCCAAAGGACCCAATAATTAGGTGCTCGGTTTTAGGATGGTAGTTATGTAGGTTACTATTTTAGAGAGTATATGATTATTAGGTACTTTGACCCTATAAACCCTAAACCCCCAAACCCTAAACCCCTAAACCCCCAAACCCTAAACCCCTAAACCCCCAAACCCCTAAACCCCTAAACCCCTAAACCCTCTTGGACCCTTAGGGTTAGAGATGTTCCATGCCTTTCTGGGAGCGCATGGAGCAACGTCTCCTCGGGCTGCTAGGGCTTAACCATAGGCGGTTTAGGGTTTAGGCTCCATGTACCTTTATAGTAGACACTTAAGTCTTAAAAGGGTCCCTTTATAGGTACTTTAAGGCCTAAGTATATAACTATATGGGTACATGGAGCTTACGGGCCCCAAGTAGTTCCTTTTGGGGATTGCCTTAGAGGACTCGAAATATGAAGCCCAAAAAGGAACTCGAAATATGAAGCCTAAAAAGGAACTGCCATGGGGCCTTAGGGTAAGGTCTAGGGGTCTGCAGGGTTTGGGGGTTTAGGGTTGAGGGCTTACTCTTCGGGTCTAACCGGCTACGCATGTCAATTACGCGCAAAACTGTGGGATTCCGTTTTGAGGGCTTTATACATTTAAGCTTTTTCCTAACATGCTTCCCGTACGGCTACCTACAGCCCTCAACCCCCCCCCACCCCCCAACGCCCGAATGATTGCTTGGCCAAGTCTTAGAGATTGGCCGTACAGGTTTAGTGTTTCGGTTTAGGGCTTGGCGAATTTAAGTTGAGGTATTTCACGTTCAGGGCTCACGAGTTCGGGGCCTATATAGTAGGACAGGCCGATGTATTGCTTTGCTTTCCAGCATCCCTCCATCGACTGTATGTTTTCTGAAAAGTTGCGTCGTCTCGTCGGAGGTTCAGGCCTAGAGAACGCTTACCACTGAAGCAAGGAATACACCTCAAACCCGAGTAAACATCGCCTAGCTCAAGGTAGCGGCCGTAGTAGCTAGAAGAATGTAGAATAGGCTTTGGGCATGTTCCAGTATTCCTATGTTCAGATGCCCTAGGAATAGTATTGGTAGCAAAAGTACAGCTTCTCTACTACACTCCTTGACTCAGGGGCATTGGGCTGTATGGCGAGTCGGAAAACCACCTCTCTGGGTTTCCAGATGCCGCTGTTGGACTTAGGGTTTCAGTTTGAGGTACGTGTATATACATATATACATACATATATATATATATGTATATATATGTATGCATGGTTTAGGGTGCCAGCATTGCAAGGCTGTGGGCTGCAGCGTAGGACGTGCGAAATTTAACAGCCAATGCTACATCTTTTGTTCTTGCTAAGACCCTCTGCCTTGCTAAGCACCTAAACCTCAGATTTGCGAGGTCCCGCACGCTTGATTCCGAAATGTGAAGGGTTTGAGGTGTGAAGGGTTTTCACAGGGAGGCTTCAAACATACAAAGATGAACAGACCATATTGCCATTGCTAGCAGTACCTGTTCAGTACTCGTACGTGCCACACGAAAGAATACTGTTCTGTGTATTGCTAATTACTGCTGCTTCTAAAGCGGCTACTGCTACTGCTACAGCTACGACTGCTGCTGCTGCTGCGACGACGGCGACTACGACGACGACTACGAATCGGTGCGCAACTACTCCTACCTTTTTACTAGCACCAAGACCTTTGTCTGCTGAATGACCTCAAGCGATCCTAAGCCCCTATGTAAGACCCTAAACACCTGAACGGAACGAATATGGAGCTTACCCTAAGGGTCCATGTACCCATATAGAGATACATGGGCCCCAATGTACCTATATAGGGACTACAGTAAGGCCAATGCATATACTATATGGGTACATGGACCCTTAGGGTTAGCTTTCAGTGCTTGCGGCCCAGGAGGCACCCCGTCCGTGGGTGGCGACGCCGGCGCCACTTTGGAGCATGAGCCTCGCCACCAGGTTGAAGGCTGAGGCAGCGCAGTTTTCACGGTGGATCCCCCAAAAGGATTAGACCCTGGTCTTAGAACGCGCAACAAGGCTGCTGGGGCCGAGGTTTTGGACATGTCTTGATAGGGGAAGTGCAGGAAATGCTGCGTATGCTACTGCTTTCTGCGGTAGCAGAGGCAGCAATCTTTGAGCGATCGTGGCTTTGGTACTTAGGTATGACTAGGATAACTCTAGTAATAAGTTGTAACTATATAGCCAAAACCCATAATAGAGGCTTATAGCCCTACCTGTAAGCACGCATGAACCTCCACGTAGGGGTCCTTGTACTCGTATATACTTGGGCCTTGAAGCAGTCCCTATACACGCACTTTGGGGCCAAAATATATACTGTCTGAGCACATGGCTTAGGGCCTTAGGGTTCCTGGTATAATGTACACCTCCAAACCCTTTTCGAAACATGAGCGCCTCCATATCGTGGCTGGTTTGAGGGTCAGATTTTCCTTAACCCAGCCCTTAAACCCTAAACCTCTAAAGCCCTAAACCACGAGCACAAGCCTGAGAAGATCACTGTTGCTGCCCCTCAAAGCGATGGAGATCGCAGACCTCAGCAGATCTTGGAAGGGCTGAGGGGTTTAAACTTTACTTGAAGACTCATGGGCAGTTATAACTCGGGTCTTAACCCCTCCTTATAACTAAAGTTGTCCTATAGTTGTCACACTAATTACTTATTTCTCCAGTTATTACTACACATGAACGCCCAACGTAGGGTTTAGGCTCTTAAGGTTGCCGGGTAAAGGCTTTCGGCGTTTGGGGTATATGCTTACAGGGTTACGGATTTGTGGCTAAGGGTCTAGGCGTAAGTGTTTAAGGTTCAGGGGCTTGCAAACCACCGAGTCTGCTTCAAAGGGGTGAGTCTTGCAGAACCGATGATCTAATGATAGCGCTTAGAGGAGATCTCTCGGGTGGTAAGACTATGGTTTAGGGATTTAAGGTTTAGGGTTTTAAGGTTTGGGGTTTAGGGGTTGGGACGGGACGGGGTTGAGGATCAAAGGTTGCCCGTAGGATGCGAAAAGGCGGTCACCATTCTTGCGAAGCTGAAACAACAGCACACGCATGCCCGCTATTTGTAAGAGGAGCAGCAGACCTTTGGTAAGCCCTAACGCCCAGACTTTCCCCGCACTGTAAGGAGGAACCCTACCCTAAGTTTAAGCCCTTATCCCCTAAATGCGGTCCCCGATTTCGTCTCAAAGCTCACAGGGTAAGGGGGAATCCGGACGAATCGATCCTGAAAACTTCTGTCTAGTCACAGCTTGGGGCTTTTGGGGTTTAGGATTCATGACTTACGCTTTTTTACTTTTAAGGTTCAGGAATCAGGCTACACTCTGAAAGTCCATCAATCCCTATCTAGGTTCCCAGCAACCAGCACCAAGGCGCCGCGAATAGCAACACACATCTTCCTCACTCGGTCGATCTAGCTCTGTAGCCCAAGCCATCCCTGTAAAGACTCTCTGTGACACGAAGCTGCAAAAGCGCTAAACACTAACTGCAAAACCCTCAGACCAAACACCACAAGTCAAAACACCTTTGGGGTATGTAGGGTTTAGACTTTAAAGGGTTTAAGTTTGAGAGCGCAAACCTCGACTGACTGGATGTGGGCCGGGGCGCTGCCCTTGGAACTGTCCTTTCTCAGCTCGGCGGCCTACATCGGCTTTGGCTGCACACAGAATTTTCCTCAGCTCCCGACGGTTTAGGGTTTAGGGTTTAGGGGTTTAGGGTTTAGGGTTGCTCGATCGAGGGACAAAACTCTACGTCTAGACGATAAACCCTAAACCCCAAACTCCTGAACTCTAACTGCCGGGCAGCTTTGCACCCCGGAGCCTATAGCAAGAGCAATAGGCGGTGGGTTTATAGGGTTTATCGCCCCAACCCAGAGTTTAGCCTCTAGGGTTTAGGGTTTACAAGGCTTACAGGGTTTAGCGGATTAGGACTCAGAGGCTTAGTTAGGGCTTCTCCTTTCCAAAAATAGCTACCTAGACCCTCAAAAGTAGGTAAAATAATGGCACAAAACCTATAAAAGGCTTTAATAATTCTACATACTTTGGGGGTCCAGGTAGGTATAGAATGCCGAAATTTCCATTCCGAATGTGACTTTGCCAAGGCGCAGCGATTCATTCAGCTGCGGATTGCTGGAGGAACCTCAGCCAGGTACTTCTTCAGCTGCAGTATCTCAGGTGTAAGTCTTTTTTCCTGAAGCATCGAAGCTGGGCTTCCTCATGCAGGGGATGTATTAACATTGGGGTTTGAAGGATATCACAGCGTACTAGAGGGACAAATCAGACCCTCGGGTTATCTATGAACTACCTAAGGGTCCATGTACTCCAAAAATGGACTTGGGCCTTAATGTAATCCGTGTGTAGGTACTTTGGTGCCATAGTGTAGACCATTCGGGTGCATGGACCCTTCGGTTACTTGATTCTTCTTGCCAGCTATCGCCAGCGTGCTGGGGTTCTGGGATTTCTTTATCGCTGACAACGCCATTACCTTATGCTTGAAGATTCGCAGTAGAAGTCACTAGACCCTGCGCCCTGGACGCAAAACAGTAGTCGAAGGACCCATCATCACATGCTGAGGAATCACTTGACTCGCCAGACCCTATCTACTATTTGCTTAAGCACCCCCAAAAAATAAAAAATATTTTCCTTATGGGGGTAATATAGGGATTATTATTTTTATTTTTTGGTGGTTTCTTAAGCAAATAGTAGCTATGCACGAAACCCTAAAGTCTGCACCCTAAGCCAAAACGCAAACCCAAAACACGAAACCCTCGGCAGTAGTCAGGACCTAGGCACGGCAGGCATGGGCTGCGAGGCAGATGGGCAGGTCTCCCTGCATTCATCAAAAATCATACCAGAACAGATAAGGGGTTGAGGTGTTGCGGGTTTACGAAAGCTTATTGCTTAGGGTTTCTGGCTTAGGGGAATTGGCTTTATAAGGGTTCGGATATCGCTATTTTGTGCTGCAGGGTATGTAATTCATATAGTAGGCCAGTATAGGCACTACCGCAAGAAGTGGGTTAGAGCAAAATAGAACAACCCCCTAAAACCGCACAACCCTTACTTGGCCCTTACATTCCGGAACAGCGACACGACGAGAAATCGAATCCTGACTCTGCTAACCTTATGGAATCAGACTGCGGTCTCTTTGCTGGTGGTAGTCTTTGAGCATGGGGCGTTGCATCCAAATGTGTGGCTTGCCGTGGCTAAACTTGAAAGGGTTTACGCACCCTGAACTCTTAAGCCCTAAACCGCAAACCCTAAAACCCTAAAACCTTAAAACCCTAAATTCCTAAAACATCCTAAACCCTAAACCCAAAGCCACCCTAAACCCTCGACACTAAGCTCTCAACCTTCATCCTTCAGCCTTTGGGTTTTGTCTGGTTTGGAGAGGCTTGGACCTCGCGGCGGCGGAGCTAACATCTCTAGCTAGTCTTGTTGGCACTTATCTGTCCATATTGTCAATATTAATATTGTTTGTCTTTTTATGGTAAGTATGATTTGTGCTACAAGTCACGATCGTCGTCACAAATTCACTAATGACATCAAACCATCGTTTTTATCATGGAAAACTTGGATCGGGCCTGGCCGTCCGGCAGGTTGACATTGGCCCCCCGTTTCTCAACCAAGGCTTTCAGCAGGACTTGCCAGCTCCTCAGCAAGGTTTACAGACTTTTGGGGGCAGTGAGCCTTAAACCTTGTACCTTACTAAACCCTAGATTTAATATATTGAAAACCCTCTCTCTCTCTCTCTCTATATATATATATATATAAACATTAAAGCCTGCATACGGTTTGGGGCTTTGGGGCTTGCAGGGACTGGCCCAGGCCTTTGAGAGATTCAAAGTGCTGGGGTTTGGGATCTATGACTTACCTCCCGGATACTTCATGATTTTAAAAGTTAAGAGTTTCAGAATACGACTATACCGCATAAGCGCCCCAAAGTTGAACAAGTTGGGCGTTGGACCTGTAAAAATCTTGTGCTTCGGGCGTTCGGTCTTTAAACATCTCTTTCTCTGCGCAGCTGCTTTGAGAAGGGTCCATGTGCCCAAACAATATATACCGTGATACAAGGGCTGCTTACAATGGCTGCTTTAATTTAAAGTTTAAGGCACAAGTACCTACTATGTGAACACATGGGTGGTTGTCAAAATTATGGTACCCTTTTTGGTCCCTGATTTTTTTACGGCACCTGTTTCTTAGGGTACCCAAAGCGGGCCCTAATTTTCACAACCATCTATATGGCTTTAACCTTTGAAACTTGAGCCCTTAACCATCAAAGCACCGACTATAGGAGCCGTAACAATTAGAACAGGGTTTTGGGGCCCACTACACTATCATTACAATAAGGAACGCCCACAATGGTTTATATATATATATATATATATATATGCTAGCCCCCCCCCCCAAGACCAACCCTGAATTCCCTAAATTCCCTAATTCCCTACCCATTGGATTTAGGGAATTCCCTATCCCCCTAAATTCCCTAAATTCCCTAAATTCCCTAATTCCCTACCCCATGTGTTGGATTTAGGGAATTCCCTATTTCCCTAAATTCCCTAAATTCCCTAAATTCCCTAAATTCCCTAAATTCCTTAAATTCCCTAAATTCCTAAATTCCCTAAATTCCCTAAATTCCCCACCCATGAACGGAAACCACTGAATCTGATCCATGGGGGTCAGAATTAGGGATTTTAGGGAATTTAGGGAATTTAGGGAATTTAAGGAATTTAGGGAATTTAGGGAATTTAGGGAATTTAGGGAAATAGGGAAATCCCTAAATCCAACACATGGGGTAGGGAATTAGGGAATTTAGGGAATTTAGGGAAACAGGGAATTCCCTAGATCCAACACATCGGGTAAGGACTTAGGGAATTTAGGGAATTAGGGAATTCCCTATAAGGGTTAGGTTTAAGGAATTTTTGGGAGTTTAGGGAATTAGGTAATTCCCTAAGTCCAACAGATGGGGTAGGGAATTAGGGAATTTAGGGAATTTAGGGAATTAGGGAATTTAGGGAATTTAGGGAATTCAGGGAATTCCTAAATTCCCTAATTTCCCTAAATTAGGGAAATTAGGGAATTTAGGGAATTCCCTAAATCCAACACATGGTCCTGGCTGGGAGTCAGGAAAGTTAGGCAATGGGCTAAAACCAACACATGGGGCTGGAAATTAGGGTATGTAAAGACTCTAGGGATTTAGGGAGTCTGCAGGAACTCACGCATTCTGTAAATTCGAGGCATGGAAGCAGTGATTAGAGAATTTAGGGAACTCGACCTCGCGACGTCGCCGGTTGACGGGTCTGTGCAACTGATACTTGTAATAATATTGATATTATTTTGAACATTTTGAAAACTATAATACTCGTACGAGTACTAATACTTATAGTAATACTAGTGGTGAAACTGATAGTAATGCTAGTATGAATACTGATGTTCCCAAGAATACTAGAAATCATGTACATTGTAAGAATAGTCTTGATGCGAATACTAATATACATACTATAGCTAGTATTATCGCTAGTATGAATATTGGCTACGCATATTCGTGAAATTACTCATTTTCGGAGTACTCATAGTCATGATAATATTAGCATTAAGGCTAGTGCGAGCGTGCATAATAAAATGCTCATACATGAATGTTAGCGTTCGTATTTATATCAGCGTTGGCATGTTTTCCAGTAGTACTAGTAACTCATACGAAGAGTAACCTCAAGTTTCATATTCCGACGAATACCAACGCATGTTTTGTTCATGCTAATTTAAATTCTACTACTACTAGTATCTACTCCTAGTATTGAAAAAATTGTACCAATACCAATTTTAGAACTGATGTGAACACGAACTTTAATGTTCTTGCCAATACTAATATGCATAGTAATATTAGTAATTAATGTATAGGAAAACTAATGTTCTTACGAATACTAATAATCATGTTCCCCTTTTATATTCATATAAGAATCGTCATGCCTAGATACGTACTAATGCTAGTACTCATGCTAATACGAGTATTAATACCAATACAAGCATAGGTATGAATATTCCTACGGGTATTTATGCTCATGTTCTTAACAAAATTATTCTCAGTACGAATACCGACATTAATAGTCTCTTTAGAACAATTTTGATATTAGTATGAACACTAATACTTCGGCTAGTACGAACATGCATAATACTAGTAAAATTATTTGTGCTCATACAAATATAGAAAGATTATTACATACTCATATTAATATCAATGCCAATATGAATTTACAAACAGCATATTAATGTCAATATCGTTTTTGTAATGTATACTAAAGAACACATCAGAACAAGGCACAAGAAAATGAATGCATCAGATTGTTAAAAACTCAATGTTTTCATTTACCAATATGTATGGTTATAGTATTATACTAATATACTAATAAAATAATATACTAATATACTGGGAAACTGATATGCCAATAGACCATTTTAATATACCAATATACGAGTATACTGAAAACTGTTTTTGTTAATATACATGTTTTGTTTATATACCAATATACTGAATATACACGTATGAATACTGATACACATAATGTACTAAGACTAAGTTTTTAAGGCCCAGCCCACGTCTAATATTAATACGAATACTAACACGAACACTAACACTAACACTGCTTTAGACATATATTAAACTAAAACTGGAGCACTAATACTCATATTAATATTAAGATTAACACTGACGTTGACACTGACACCAGCATCAGCACTAACAGGAACATTAATCAAACGAATAATACTATTGGACAGATACCAGCAGCAGTGTTAGAACTTCTAAAATTAGTAATGACACAAAACAAATACTAATGCTAACGCTAGCAAAATATTAAGGTTACTACTCACAATCATTAAGGTTAAAACTTAGAACAAAATTAAGTCAAGACCAATGTTAACACTGTTTTTTTAAGACTGAAACTAAGAATAAGACTTTGACAAGATGACGATAATTAATAAAGGATGAGGCACACAAACTGGGCTCTGACTTTTACCACTCCGACAAGACGCGCCCAGAGTGTAAATGGTGTCCATAAAACTGAACCCTGTTTTTTACCAGTCTGTCAAGAGGCGTCGAGAGTGCAAACTTTGTACGGGAACACAAACACCATCGGTATTTACAGTGGTTTCGGCTCTTATCCATGACGCTGTGAAGACAGTAGTGAGCAGGACAATGGTCGAGGTTGGTCCCGGGGGGGGGGGGTTACCATATATATATATATATATATATATATATTTGTAATAGAGAGGCCTTAATCATAAGAAGAGGGTTTTGGGGCCCATGATACTATAATCGTGTTAAGGAACCCCTACAACAATCTTGGTAATTATTTAGGCCCCCCATATTAACCCTGAAAGCACTTAAGGGTTGAGGCTTGAACACTTGGGCTTCAGCTTTGATTTGGGTACCAGCGTAATATAGGGGCTTTAATAATTGCAATAGGGTGTTGGGGCATATTCTACTATAAGTATAATAAGGCACCCTCACAATCGTATAGGCAATTATTAAGGCCCCTATAGTATGGGTAGAGGATTGAACTGTTGGGCTTTAACTTTGATTTGGGTACCAGTGTACAGCGCCGTAAAGAGTTTGAGCTGTAGCGCTTATTGCTTGTAGGATTTTGGATTCAAGGTTCATGTCCGGGGTTTAAGGTTCAGCGAGGGCAACTTTACAGAAGGCGACATCCCACTCACAGGAAGTTTAGAGAACGAACCTAGATGTGCTGTCCAAACCCTAAGCCTTCTTAAAGGCTGCAATCAAATCAAAGCTAAGACGCCGTCCCATAGCTCCAGTCAAGGAGACACAGGCGCGAGACAGAAGCGTGCGGCCCTGGTCGTCCAGGCTGTCCTGGGATTGAAGATTGATGAGGACTATGGGATTTGGTGTAGGGATCATGGCGTACATGACTCGGGATATTTGGCTTTGCATTGGAGTCTGGGTTTTAGGTATTGGGTTTAGGTTTGGCACGCTGAAGCCATGCAGGGCAAGCAGCAGTTCTGTTCTGGGGGCGTGCGCCCACACACTGCACACAGTATACAACAGCCTCCACAGATCACAGGCGTGCAGTTTGCACAGGAGTTGCAGCTAGCCGCGGTTCTTGAGTTCAGCTTTGGGCTTATAGTGCAGTAGGTTGACGCAAGTTTGTGGTCCCCTGCTGCGTCTCCCGTCTCCCAAACCCCAAGCCCTGAACCTAGTGCCAGCCGCGACTTGCGATTTCTGGCATATGCTTGGGACGTTGTAACTGGGCATTGGGCCAAGAAATTTAGAACTTTCGATCATTTCAATCCTTACCCGAGGTGAAAGACTCTGCGCTGAGTCCGTAACTTCAGGAATGTATGATGGTTTGGAAATACATGGCAGGTGTAGAGAGAATGAGTACCTCAGCTTCTTCAGTACTTGAGCCACATGGCTTCATGGTAAAAGCTTTGCCCCCCGCTGTGTTCTTAAGGTGCTTGTGCACTTCACACCTTGTGGATGTCGACTTTTACACACAAAAACTCTACAGCTGAAGCCCTGACTTCCCCAAGGTTCACAACATCCATGTGTCCAAACTGCTTTACCAGAACAGCCCATCAAAACAGACTGAGCAATTCTGAGGCAAGGCACTGGCTGAATGGGGCATTCCGACACGTACCAGGCAGCCAAGGCCGAGTGGCCCTTCAAAAGCGCCACGTCGACGGGAGAATTCCTAAAAAATTGCGCTCGAGGAAGTCGGGTTTGGGATCCTACTGGTAGCAGGTCGGGGGCAACAAGCATTCCAGTTCGGGGTTCGGCATCCTGGATCTTCACAGATACGGTTGATGATATAAATCCTGCATTACCCATAATAAGGAACATATGGGAATTATGGTGTATTCCTTACTTCAAGGATCATGGGACTTTGTAACTAGGGTTGTTATTCGGGTAACTATACTTATAATCCCAATTAGGGTACTTATAACCTTACTTAGTCCCATGATCCTCCAAGTATTTTGGGTCCCTAAAACCCTATAGATCCCTTAAAGGAGCCCTTTAAAGGTACCCTTATAGATCCCTTTAAAGGACATACAGGATTTATGTCATCAACAGTATTCACGGGTCTCGCGACTTCTGAGGGTGAATGCAGTCTCTGGTTGAAGGCTTTGTGGGGGAAGGGCTTCGGTTCTCAAGGCGAGTTGGGGTTAGAGGTTTGGGGTTCCGGGTGAGCGGTTTAGGGTTTAGGGTAAGAGGTTTAGGGCTTGAGGGTTAGAGGTCTAGGCTTTAGGGTAAGAGATTTAGGGCTTTAGGGTTAGAGGTCTCTCCTTGGCTTTGATCCTCTCTTGGGGTTCAGGTTCTGCTTTTCAGGACCCGCGTTGAACCAGACTTTGGGGTTTAGTTTGAGGCCTGGGGTTTCTTCGGGGTGTAAGGATTAGTGTTCAATAACCCTAAATCTAAATCCTAAACCGTTCAGGCTTGTATGAAACCCAAAGCTTGCATGTGGGGCGACTGAGCTTAGGACTTGTGCTTCGACGGAAATCCAGCCAGAAGGGTTTAGGGTTAGAAGCTGCCCCCACCCTGTAATAGTGGTATAATAGGAATATAATAGGGCCCTAATATAATCCTTATAGTCACTATTACAGGGTGGGGGCCCCTTCTAAGGTTTAGGGAATAGGGTTTCCGAGCCGGGCTTAGGGTCTGCGATGATCTAGACCCCCCAACTACCCTTTAGTGTAATCCCTAATTACCTCTTAATGGGAAATATTGGAGACCTTTAAAGGGTACTTGGGGGTCCTGGGAAGCTCGGCAGATTCATGCAAAGCTGAGAATTCCTGACTAAATTTCGGCTCAGCGTCTCGGGCGTCGTCAGATTAGGGGGATTACTTAAAGGACCGTGGGACTTAGTAACTCTTAAGGGTTCCTTAAAGGGTTCCTTAAAGGGATCTATAAGGGATTTATGGGGGGGGTTAGGGTACTTAAAGGCTCCTGGGGCTTAGTAACTGGGGTTATTATTAAGGGAAACGTACTTATACCTTATAACCCCAAGTTATTATTGAGGAAAACGTACTTATAACTGCTTATAACCCCACTTAGGGTACTTATAACCTTATTTACTAAGTCCCATGATCCTCCAAGTATTATGGGTCCCTAAAACCCTATAGGTCCCTTAAAGGAGCCCTTTAAAGGTACCCTTATAGATCCCTTTAAAGGACATAATTCCATGATCCTCCAAGCAGGGTGATCAGGGGCCAGAAAGTAAATCCTGAAACAACAACTTTGGTCTGTAATTGAACCTTGCGGTATTTCAGGAATCGTTTGCGAAGACCGAGAGGGAAGAGGCAGACTTCTCATCAACAACGTGACACAGTGTCAATCTTTCAGAATTGTGAGGGGTTGGGCTTCAACGTTATGATATGCTGCCTCAAATAATGTGGTCTCCTGATTATTAACCCCAGCAAACAACCACAAACTCCATAATAATCATGGCGTGTTTGCGCGCCGGGGTCGAAGTTGTTCGGGGGCCGGGGCTCTCAGTAGTAGTACACTAGTACAATATCACAATAGCATAATCGTATAGTACAGTAGTACAGTAATACAGTAGTACACAGTAGCACAGTAGTACAGTAGTACAGTAGTACAGTAGTAGAGTAGTAGAGTAGTAGAGTAGTAGAGTAGTAGAGTAGTAGAGTAGTAGAGTAGTAGAGTAGTAGAGTAGTGGAGTAGTAGAGTCGTAGAGTAGTAGAGTAGTAGAGTGGTAGAGTAGTAGAGTAGTAGAGTAGTAGAGTAGCACAGTAGCACAGTAGCACAGTAGCACAGTAGTACTAGTAGTAGTAGTAGTAGTAGTAGTAGTAGTAGTAGTAGTAGTAGTAGTAGTAGTAGTAGTACTAGTAAGTACACTCTTGTTTTACAGGCCTTTCCGGAGCACCCTGGGCTCTGTCCGCTCGCGCCCTCTTTCGCGAACTCTCGACCTCCTCCTCTCGTGACTTGAACGAGTATTCAGAGACTTGACGTTTCTATATAGAGGCCTTATGGCTTTCAATACAGCAAGGGATTCTGGTTTGCTGTTCTGGAGGCCCCCGGCAGGCCGCTGCACTATTGAGGGGGCCTTTTCATCCGAATTATTGTGGGGTCGGCAGCTATCGTATACTACCCCTTAGAAAAGTTGCTGGATGGCTTTTTTAATAAGGGGTTTATATAAGAAACCTATAGATCTGGCAGCCGTGCAAAACCAGAGATTGAAACTTTGGCCTGAATCCCTGAAGGCTGGAGACTTGAGGTTTCTATATAGAGGCTTTATGGTTTTCAATACAGCAGCGGATTCTGGTTTGCTGTTCTGGAGGCCCCCGGCAGGCCGCTGCATTATTGAGGGGCCTTTTCATCCGAATTATTGTGGGGTCGGCAGCTATCGTATACTACCCCTTAGAAAAGTTGCGGGGGTGGCTGTTTCAATAAGGGGTTTAAATTAAGAAACCTATAGATCTGGCAGCCGTGCAAAACCAGAGTTTGGAGCTTTGGCCTGAATCCCTGAAGGCTGGAGACTTGAGGTTTCTATGTAGAGGCTTTATGGTTTTCAATACAGCAACGGATTCTGGCTTGCTGTTCTGGAGGCCCCCGGGGGCCTTTTCATCCGAATTAGTGTGGGGTCGGCAGCTATCGTATACTACCCCTTAGAAAAGTTGCTGGGATGGCTGTTTTAATAAGGGGTTTATATAAGAAACCTATAGATCTGGCAGCCGTGCAAAACCAGAGTTTGAAACTTTGGCCTGAATCCCTGAAGGCTGGAGACTTGAGGTTTCTATGTAGCGGCTTTATGGTTTTCAATACAGCAACGGATTCTGGTTTGCTGTTCTGGAGGCCCCCGGCAGGCCGCTGCACTATTGAGGGGGCCTTTTCATCCGAATTATTGTGGGGTGGGCAGCTATCGTACTCTACCCCTTAGAAAAGTTGCTGGGATGGCTTTTTTAAGAAGGGGTTTATATAAGAAACCTATAGATCTGGCAGCCGTGCAAAACCAGAGATTGAAACTTTGGCCTGAATCCCTGAAGGCTGGAGACTTGAGGTTTCTATGTAGCGGCTTTATGGTTTTCAATACAGCAACGGATTCTGGTTTGCTGTTCTGGAGGCCCCCGGCAGGCCGCTGCACTATTGAGGGGGCCTTTTCATCCGAATTAGTGTGGGGTCGGCAGCTATCGTATACTACCCCTTAGAAAAGTTGCTGGGATGGCTGTTTTAATAAGGGGTTTATATAAGAAACCTATAGATCTGGCAGCCGTGCAAAACCAGAGATTGAAACTTTGGCCTGAATCCCTGAAGGCTGGAGACTTGAGGTTTCTATATAAAGGCCTTATGGTTTTCAATACAGCAAGGGATTCTGGTTTGCTGTTCTGGAGGCCCCCGGCAGGCCGCTGCACTATTGAGGGGGCCTTTTCATCCGAATTATGGTGGGGTCGGCAGCTATCGTATACTACCCCTTAGAAAAGTTGCTGGGATGGCTGTTTTAATAAGGGGTTTATATAAGAAACCTATAGATCTGGCAGCCGTGCAAAACCAGAGTTTGAAACTTTGGCCTGAATCCCTGAAAGCTGGAGACTTGAGGTTTTTATATAGAGGCTTTATGGTTTTCAATACAGCAAGGGATTCTGGTTTGCTGTTCTGGAGGCCCCCGGCAGGCCGCTGCACTATTGAGGGGGCCTTTTCATCCGAATTATTGTGGGGTGGGCAGCTATCGTATACTACCCCTTAGAAAAGTTGCTGGGATGGCTGTTTTAATAAGGGGTTTATATAAGAAACCTATAGATCTGGCAGCCGTGCAAAACCAGAGTTTGAAA